ACATCCCGTCTTTGTCCACCTTGTCTATTCCGCGCAGTATTTTATATGTCGTTATCATGTCTCCCCTGACCCTCCTGTCCTCCAGTGTCGTCAGGCCGATTTCCCTCAACCTTTCTTCGTAGCTCTGGGACTAGTCTTGTTGCAAACCTTTGCACTTTCTCTAATTTCTTGACGTGCTTGACCAGGTGTGGATTCCAAACTGGTGCTGCATACTCCAGTATGGGCCTGACGTAAATGGTATACAGTCTTGAACGATTCCTTACTGAGGTATCGGAATGCTATCCGTAGGTTTGCCAGACGCCCGTATGCTGCAGCAGTTATCTGATTGATGTGCGCCTCAGGAGATATGCTCGGTGTTATACTTACCCCCAGATCTTTTTCCTTGAGTGAGGTTTGCAGTCTTTGGCCATCTAGACTATATTGTGTCTGCGGTCTTCTTTGCCCTTCCCCAATCTTCATGACTTTGCATTTGGCAGGGTTAAACTCAAGGAGCCAGTTGCTGGACCAGGCTTGTAGCCTGTCCAGATCTCTTTGTAGTCCTGCCTGATCCTCGTCTGATTTGATTCTTCTCATTAACTTCACATCATCTGCAAACAAGGACACTTCTGAGTCTATCCCTTCCGTTATGTCATTCACATATACCAGAAACAGCACAGGTCCTAGGACTGACCCCTGTGGAACCCCGCTTGTCACAGGCGCCCACTCTGACACCTCGTCATGTACCATGACTTGTTGTTGCCTCCCTGTCAGGTATTCTTTGATCCATTGCAGTGCCTTTCTTATTATGTGTGCCTGATCCTCTAGCTTTTGCAGTAACCTCTTGTGAGGAACTGTGTCGAAGGCCTTCTTGCAGTCCAAAAAATGCAGTCGATCCACCCCTCTCTCTCTTGTCTTACTTCTGTCACCTTGTCATAAAATTCCAGTAAGTTTGTGACACAGGATTTTCCTTCCCTGAAACCGTGCTGGTTGTCAATTATACACTTGTTTCTTCCAGGTGCTCCACCACTCTCCTCCTGACGATCTTCTCCATGACCTTGCATACTATACACGTTAGTGATACAGGTCTGTAGTTTAGTGCCTCATGTCTGTCTCCTTTTTTAAAAATTGGGACTACATTTGCCATCTTCCATACCTCAGGGAGTTGCCCAGTTTCAATGGATGTGTTGAATATCTTTGTTAATGGCACACACAGCATCTCTGCTCCCTTTCTAAGGACCCACGGAGAGATGTTGTCTGGTCTCACCGCCTTTGAGGTGTCAAGTTCACATAGCAGATTCTTCACCTCCTCCTTGGTTGTGTACCTCATCCAGCACTTGTTGGTGTACCCCCCTGTTCTGATTTCCTGGAGTCCTACTGGTTTCCACTGTAAATACTTCTTTAAATCTCGTGTTGAGCTCCTGACATACCTCTCGGTCGTTTCTTGTGAACTCCCCATCACCCTTCCTCAGTCTGATTACCTGGTCCTTGACTGTTGTTTTCCTCCTGATGTGGCTATACAACAGCTTCGAGTCAGACTTGACTTTCGATGCTGTGTCATTTTCATGTTGATAAATTAGACACATGTGCAACTCTTGGGTATCTTTATTGAGGAAACGTTTCGCCACACAGTGGCTTCATCAGTCCATACAAAGGAGAATCTTGAAGAACAGGAGGAGAATGAGGTAATCAGTCCCTCAACCTTGAGTCGATGTGGTCAGTCCATCAATTCTATTCAAGATTGATGGACTGACCACATCGACTCAAGGTTGAGGGACTGATTACCTCATTCTCCTCCTGTTCTTCAAGATTCTCCTTTGTATGGACTGATGAAGCCACTGTGTGGCGAAACGTTTCCTCAATAAAGATACCCAAGAGTTGCACATGTGTCTAATTTATCAACATGTCGGTTCTCTGAACCATTCATCTACAAAAGTGTCATTTTCATATTGTCGCTGAGCCTCCCTTCTTATCTGTGCATATTCTTTTCTGGCTCTTCGACTAATCTCTTTATTTTCCTGAGTTCTCTGTCCTCTGTACCTTTTCCATTCTCTAGTACACCTAGTTTTTGCATACCTACACCTTTGGGTGAATCAAGGACTAGTTCTGTTCTTCCCATTATTTCTGTTTCCCTTGGGAACAAACCTCTCCTCTGCCTCCTTGCATTTTGTTGCCACATAGTCCATCATTTTTTATACTGGTTTTCCTGTCAGTTCCCTCTCCCACTGAATGTCTTGCAGGAAGTTCCTCATGCCTGAGTAGTTCCACCTTTTGTAGTTTGGTTTTTCCCATCCTATTCCTGCTGCTCTCTCCACTTGGAGCTCAACTATGTAGTCAAAGCACAGAACCATATGATCACTAGCTCCTAGGGACCTTTCATACATGATATCCTCGATGTCCGAACTACTCAAGGTGAATACAAGGTCCAGTCTTGCTGGATCATCCTCACCTCTCTCTCTGGTAGTGTCTCTAACATGTTGGTGCATGAGGTTTTCCAGCACCACATCCATCATCTTGGCTCTCCATGTTTCGGGACCCCCATGGGGCTCCAGGTTTTCCCAGTCAATCTCCTTGTGATTGAAATCACCCATAAATAGTAACTTTGCTCCCCCCATGTGTGCTCTTTTGGCCACCTCGGCTAGTGTGTCGACCATTGCTCTGTTGCTCTCATCGTATTCTTCTCTTGGCCTCCCGTAGTTCTGTGGTGGGTTGTACATTACTGCAATTATTACCTTATGCCCTCAGACTGGATTGTTCCTACTAAGTAGCCCCTTTCGCCCATGCCATCCATTCCTTCCTTCCTTGTGTGTGTGCTTGTGTGTATGCATATATTTGTGTGCATGTGTCTGTGCGTGTGCCCTCGTGTGTGTAGGTGTGGGCGCACGCGCTCGTGTGGGTGTATGACCCACTTAATATTTATATTTATAACTCATTACAATTGTGACCGGGTGTGGACGTATCAGTGGCTCATTACTTTGTAATTTGTTCATGACTGTAACCATGTATAGGAGTGAGGCTGATTCATTACCTTTGTAACTTGCCATGATTGTGACCAGATCTACCTGGAGTTCATTACCTTTGTAACTAGTTCAGCTATCATAACTTTGGGGTCCAGTCCCTGGACCCATTATGTACCTTTGTAATCTTTTGACTACCGCCCACAGGATGGGTATGGGGTGCATAATAAAGATATTAAACTAAACTAACTCCATCCTTCCTGTCCTCCAGTGTCGTCAGGTTGATTTCCTTTAACCTCTCCTCACAGAACATGCCCCTCAGCTCCGGACTAGTCTTGTTGCAAATCTTTGCACTTTCTCTATTTTTTTTTTGACGTGCGTGACCAGGTGTGGGTTCCACACTGGTGCTGCATACTCCAATATGGGCCTTACGTACATGATGTAAAAAGTCTTGAACGATTCCTTCCTTACGCGTTGAAACGGTATTCTTAGGTTTGGCAGGAATCATAGAATGCTAAAGGCATGTGACAAGGGCTTCTTGTAGTTTTTGATGAACACGGAGTTCCACATATTGAGTCATATTGGAACTTAGTATCTCACTCATTTCTTTGCTGTCATCTGTGTAAGTCCCATCTCGCCTGAGCTGGAGTCCAGTACTGGATGTTATTCTGACCTTAGATTTTGCGTAAGAAGATTTTGGGTTTCTTTCATTTTCACTTATGGCTTTAAGTTATTCCTGAGTTTTTTTGTCACCTGTATACAGTGGCATGTAGAATATTTTTCTTCTTGGTAGTCTGCTCTACCAAAAAACTGAAGGACAATCTACAAATTACTCAAAATTAAGATAGTGAGACTCACCCTGGAGCTGGTCCAAGAGGTCATGTAGGGCAGGATGAATTACAACAACTGGAAATGCTTAATGTGGATGATAAGATAAGATAGATAAAGCTAAATTATGTTTACAAATTTGCTCATATTGTCTTGAGTATCCTGCTGCAAATGTTATCAAAATCAGGAACCGAGGCTAGTGTGGTAGTAAGACTAGTGAACATTGTTTTGCAGTACCTACAGTAGGTGGTCAGGCCTCAAACACATTATACCATACAACAATAAAAGAGTGGAACAAGTTGCTTGATCATATGAAAGTCAGCTTTATTGTCAACTAGTTTAGGAAGAGAGCTAAAAAGCATCTAATGGATGAAGCTACAGAAAGGAAGTTAGTTTAATATATTATGCACCCCATACCCATGGTGTGGGAGGTCAAAACATTGCGGGCACATAATGGGTCCAGGGACTAGACCTCAACATTACAGACGCACATAATAGGCTCAGGTGCTGTACTTCAACATTGCAGAGGCACATAATGGGTACAGGGACTGTACGTCAACATTACAGAGGCACATAATGGGTACAGGGACTGTACCTCAACATCACAGAGGACAATAATGGGTGCAAGGACTGTACCTCAACATTACAGAGGACAATAATGGGTACAAGGACTGTACCTCAACATTACAGAGGCACATAATGGGTACAAGGACTGTACCTCAACATTACAGAGGACAATAATGGGTACAAGGACTGTACCTCAACATTACAGAGGCACATAATGGGTACAGGGACTGTACCTCAACATTACAGAGGCACATAATGGGTACAAGGACTGTACCTCAACATTGCAAAGGCATATAATGGGTCCAGGAACTGTACCACAAAGTTTTGACAGCTTAACAAGTTATAATGGTAATGATCTATTTAATATTTGTATATCTGATTTATTAAATTTATTTAGATTTTATTAATAATAATAAATTAATATATTTAATAGACTGTTATAGATGTTACAAGAGCCACAGAGGGAAATTAATGACTTTATTTAACTTTTTATGGATTATCCTACACAAGTTGGACATATATTATTATGTAGAACAATTATAATTGTCTATAAATTGTGTTATTGAAGTTAGGTAAAGTTAGTAGTTATGTAAAACAATTATAATCATCCATAAATTGCGTAATTGAAGTTAAATACAGTTAGTGGTTATTAAGGTGAGTTTTTCTGGCCACTAACAACCCCAACAACAAGAGGCCACTACAGCTCAACCCTCGCTTATATTATTCACTAAAACTCCGCTTATTAGCAAACATTTATATGGTAGTGATATCCAGAGGTAAGTTGTATTATTGGTGGCCATGAAGAGTCAAGTACAGTGTCCTGCTACAGTAATATACAGGTGGACTCACACTCTTTTTAACAGTTTCTCAGACTTGAGGAAAATATTGAATATTCTTCCTCTTTCTTTTTTGATAAATATTACAAATATATATGTTGGGAAACTCCCAGTATATAAATACGGTCCTTTTTTTTGTTTTTTTTTTTTGAGAAATTGTGTATTTTCTGTTTTAATTAAAAGCATACGTGTGGTGCATATAGTGTACGTTACTATTATATTGTACATTATTATTTTTATTATTTTTCATCACTAGCTAATGCCAACTACCTCCAATACTCTATACTTCTTTCTTACTGCTATTAATTGCTCATAATTTTAAATTACAAGTCAAATCTTACTCCAAATTAATAATATTCATTTTTTCTTACCTGTCCATTTAATTTTGTTTATCACTACTTGTTTTTTAGTCACTTTTCATTGTGTATGCAATTAGTGTATATTCCAATTACTTTTTTGCAAGTACCAAAACTATCTTTTGCTAGCTAGTACCAACTACCTCATTTTTTTTACTTTTATTGTGCAATAAACTGCTCATTTATCTAATATTACAAATCAGATCTTACTCCTAAACCAATATTATTTCATAGTGACCATCTGTCCATTTAACTTTGTTTACCATTACTTAATTTTAGTCCCTTATATATTTTCTCCTTTATTTTAGCTTTATATACTACCCTAGTTTTATACATTCACAATTGTTAAAATAATCAAGGTGCTATTCTCAGGTGCTAAAGTAGAACAAGTTCACAATTTTGCCATTATATTTCAAAACTCATTTATTTTATAGTACTACCTACTATCATATTCCCAAGCTCCATTATTTGATCATCACTTTATTTGTACTAGTCCCTTTTATATTGTCTCCTTTATTTTAGCTTAAAAAAAAAAAACTACCTTAGCTCATTATTTTACATTTGTTAAATAATTCAGGTGCTATTTTTTTTAGCTTAAGACTATTTACTCTGTTTTATACTTAATTCTACCTATAGATTCACTACAAATCTTATGATTACAAGCATTGATCCTGATACCAACCTCTTATTTAATGACTTAAATGAATCAAACAGTTACTGTAATTACGATGAGAAATTTCAATTACTCAGATATGGTAAACATGAGGAAATTAAATCTTCATCAGAGTACAAAACAAATTCTGGCCACAAAATAGAGCGAAACACCAACGTCAAAGACCTGGGAGTGATCATGTCGGAGGATCTCACCTTCAAGGACCATAACACTGTATCAATCGCATCTGCTAGAAAAATGACAGGATGGATAATGAGAACCTTCAAAACTAGGGAGGCCAAGCCCATGATGACACTCTTCAGGTCACTTGTTCTATCTAGGCTGGAATATTGCTGCACACTAACAGCACCTTTCAAGGCAGGTGAAATTGCCGACCTAGAAAATGTACAGAGAACTTTCATGGCGCGCATAACGGAGATAAAACACCTCAATTATTGGGAGCGCTTGAGGTTCCTAAACCTGTATTCCCTGGAACGCAGGAGGGAGAGATACATGATTATATACACCTGGAAAATCCTAGAGGGACTAGTACCGAACTTGCACACGAAAATCACCCACTACGAAAGCAAAAGACTTGGCAGACGATGCACCATCCCCCCAATGAAAAGCAGGGTGTCACTAGCATGTTAGAGAGCCATACAATAAGTGTCAGGGGCCCGAGACTGTTCAACTGCCTCCCAGCACACATAAGGGGGATTACCAACAGACCCCTGGCAGTCTTCAAGCTGGCACTGGACAAGCACCTAAAGTCAGTTCCGGATCAGCCGGGCTGTGGCTCGTATGTTGGTTTGCGTGCAGCCAGCAGCAACAGCCTGGTTGATCAGGCTCTGATCCACCAGGAGGCCTGGTCTCAGACCGGGCCGCGGGGGCGTTGACCCCCGGAACTCTCTCCAGGTAAACTCCAGGTAAACTACACTGCAGAACAATCAAAGGCACTTCTCAGTGCCAACAACAACATAACTATCTTTAACTACAATATCAGATCTTTAAGCAAGCATTACGATGACCTCATAGCATTACTAAATTCCTTACATGCCAATATGTCCATCATTACACTAACTGAAACCTGGCTAAAGCCTGATAGTACAGATGTCTATGCCATTCCTGGTTACACAGCCATACACAACTGTAGGCCAGACCAACAAGGGGGTGGCACAGCCATATACTACTCAGACCAACTAGAATGTATCACTAATACTTGCACAAGAGATGAACATGGGGAATATATAATAGCCAAATTCAAATCCAAATACCTACAAAAACCTCTCACATTGATAAACATCTACAGAGTTCCACAGTCAAACATTAGCCAATTTAGTCAAAACCTAGGAAGTATGATAACTGATGCACTCATGAACAAAGATCACTTACTACTCTCAGGTGACTTCAATATAAATCTCCTGCAAGACCAGGACCCACACGTTACTGAATTCACAAACACAATGAGTAACTGTATGTTGCTACCAACAGTAACAAAACCTACAAGAGTTAGAGACTAGTGTTTCCCTACTTGACCACATCTGGACCAACACCATATCCCCTTTAAAATCAGGCATAATTACAGATAATACCACAGACCACTACCCTACTTTCCTCATAACAACTCTTGGTAAATTACCCCAAGACACTACTAAAGTCACCTTCAGACTTCACAATGAGGCAGCCATTAATAACTTTACAACAGCAGTAGCAAACATTGACTGGCACACTGAGCTAGAAATCAATACAGATATTGACGAATGTATTAATAATTTTCTAAAAAAGACCCAATACCTCTATAACAAGCACTGCCCTAAAAAAACTAAGCAGATGACAGCTAAGAGACTGAAGTCCCTGGCTAACACCCAGCATTCTCAAATCCATAAATACAAAACACCAATATGAAAAACAGTACAGAATGGGTCACATAACCAGAGACCAAACAAAACGTTACTCGTCAATCCTAACCAGCCTGATAAGAAGGGCAAAAAAATTGTATTATGAGAACAGATTATCCAACTTACGAGGTGATATAAAAAAGACCTGGAAAACCCTATCAGAAATTCTGGGAACAAAAAAGATATCACGAAATAGCGAAATAAAATTAGCAAAATCAGATGAACCCCAACTCCCACCAACAGAAACAGCAAACAGACTCAATGATTTTTTTCTCCACTATAGGACAAAACCTTGCCAATAAAATCCCAAGCTCAGATACCCCACCAAATGACTACCTCACCGGCAACTACCCGAACACACTGTTCCTAGCTCCGACTAACCCATACGAAGTCTCCCTTATTATCAACGCACTAAAAAACAAGGCAGGAGATTTAAATACCTTACCACCCTTTATATACAAAAAAGTGTCACAAGTGCTATCACCAATCATTGCAACACTCTTTAACAAATCCATTGAATCCTCCACCTTCCCTACAGTACTCAAAATAGCAAGGGTCACCCCGATCCACAAAGGAGGAGACCAAACAGAGTTGAATAACTAAAGGCCAGTATCCAACTTACACCCTCTCTCAAAAATCTTCGAAAAATTAATTCATAAACGAATCTACTCCTACCTTATCTCCCAAAACATACTCAACCCTGCCAATTTGGATTCAGGCCTAATAAAAATACTAATGATGCTATTATACACATGCTAGAACACATATACACTGCAATAGAGAAAAAAGAAGTCCCACTGGGGATCTTCATTGACTTACGTAAAGCTTTTGATACAGTTGACCATGACTTGCTCCACGTAAAATTGTCACACTATGGTATAAGAGGGCACTCCCTCAACTACCTTAAGTCATACCTCAGCAACAGAAGCCAATATGTGTACGCAAATGGGGCAAACTCTTCTGCACAACCAATTACAGTTGGTGTCCCACAGGGAAGTGTCCTTGGCCCTCTTCTCTTTCTCCTATACATAAATGACCTACCAAATGCTTCGCAATTACTCAAACCCACACTATTTGCTGATGACACAACATACGTCTTCTCCCACCCGAGCCCAGTCACGCTAGCCAATACTGTAAATACCGAATTACAGAAAATATCTACCTGGATGAGTACTAACAAACTTACACTAAACATTGACAAAACCTACTTCATTCAGTTTGGTAACAGAGCTACAGATGTCCCTCTTAACATAATGATAAACGGATCACCTATCACCTAAGAAAATTTCCAAGACTGTAGGCATACTATCGAAGATACGGTACTATGCTCCACAGTCAGCCCTCCTGGCCCTATATCACTCTCTTATTTACCCCTATCTCACCTATGGAATTTGTGCATGGGGCTCAACAACAAGTAACCATCTCAGACCACTAATTACCCAACAAAAGGCTGCAGTTAGAATGATAACAAATTCTCACTACAGGCAGCACACTCCACCAATATTCAATACACTCAACCTATTCACCATACAAAACATCCATACTTATTACTGCACCTATTACATACATAGAACACTCAACTCTGATATTAACCCTCCCCTCAAACATCTCCTTGCCAACCTCAACAGAACACATGACCATACCAACACAAGGCACAGATCACTCTTTGATATTCCTCGTGTCCATCTCACGCTATGCAAAAACTCAATGCACATAAAAGGCCCTAAAATCTGGAATTCATTACCTGTAAATATAAAAGAAACACTACCTGTTTATAAATTCAAGTCTCTTCTCAAAGATCACTTACTCACCCAAAACCAAATAAATACTGAATAACTGAACCTTATAAATTGTATATCTTAAATGTTTCTCACAATTATATCACATAAATGTTAAACCTAAAACCCAATCTAACTTTATTATTTTTTAAATACACTACCTAACAGAATACTCCATTCTACTGAATTTACAACAATGCATGCAACCATATGACCTGTCTTTGTAATACTCACTTGTGCTTTATAGTAATCTGTTTACATTAATGTTTTTCACTGATTTCATCATTGCTTAGTTAATCTTAAGTTAATTTTAAGCCAGCCCGTAATGCTATGCATAGTATAAGTGGCTTTGGCATGCTGCTCTTATCTGTATTTTTTTGTACCTCTGTATGTGTGCTCAAATTATAAATAAATAAATAAAAAATTATATCCATACCTGGGGAAAAATTATTTTGTGGAAATATTTTTTTTCGTGTGTGATATTAGGATAATTTTGGGACATGCAACAAGTCAGAGCCAATCAATGGTTAATATTGACATGCCAGTCATATCTACCTTTGGCGGAGTAAGGTTAAGTTAGGTTATTTGAAGCTGGAGTTCTTGTTTGGTACATTTCTTACATTTGCACAACACAAAACATTTCCATAACAATACCAACCAAATATTCGACATTTTTAGGAATACGTTATGGCCAAACTCTCAAAAGGACCATTACACCATAATTATACCCAAGAAACTTCTCCGACTGAAATTTGTCGGCCAAAATGTTTTGTACTTGAGACTGAGTAATCAGCAATGTTCCATTTATCTTGCAGTTTGTCACTTGTACTTTTTTGTAAGTAAACTTTATTTTCACTCATGACTTAATATGTATTAATGTGCAATAAGATTGCAGTAAACAGGTGATATCACAATATGCAAAATAACCACTGAAAAAAATGTGAATTTCCAAGCATTTTTGTGATTTCTCACATTATCAAGGAACTGATAATATGAGAAATCATGGAAGCACTTGGAAATTCACCATTTTTCACAGTGGTTATTTTGCATGTATTAATGTGTATTGTAACTTAATATTCCACCGATATTTTCCCAGTTTATCTTTCAGACCCCATTTTAATGTTATATTATTATTGACATAGTTGGCAATACACTCACCTCACACACCAAGTGTCTGGGGTTCAGTCCCGGGCTGGGTAGAAACGTTGGGTATGTTTCCTTGCACCTGCTGTCCCTGTTCACCTAGCAGGAAGTAGGTACCTGGGTGTTAGTCAGCTGATGTGGGTCACATCCTGGGGGACGAGATTGAAGGATCCCAATGGAAATAAGATGGTCCTTGATGACGCACTGACTTTCATGGGTTATCCTGGGTGACTAAACCTCTGGGTTAAAAATCTGAGCAAATCTTATCTTATATTGTACTTTTACAGTATCTTGAGTCATTTTTGGTAAAAGTGAAAATGCCAACTAATTTTCTATTTGCTTCAGATACTGAGGAGTGAAGTGGACTGAAACAGGAAGGATGCCCTCCTCGCAGGTCTTTGCTGCCAATAACTGCGGCAGAGTATTTAGCTTGTCGACTGATCAGTCATGCTGGCGGGAACTGCCCTATCTTGGTGTTGAGTTTAAGAGAGTGTCTGCACATGAAACAGTGTTGTGGGCCCTTGGGGGGGATCATCAGGTATACGTTTTTGTATATGGATCATCAGTGCCCATACGAGTGTGTGAGGAATCCTATGAGAATCAGGCATGTAAACTTTGATTTCTGTATGAGTTATAATGGCTTAATTAATGAACTACATTACTGTATCTCATATTCTCGCATGCATTAGTCTAATTAAAAAATGTTAAAGTTGTCATTGCTTCTTTGCCATTTTTATATTAATACTGTACTGTATTATCTTGGTTATTTTTATTGTGTTGATTTCAGTGTAATGCATTTTAATTATTTTCTGTGAGATGTACATTTGTGCAGTAATAGAAACTAATTGGCGAGTTGTAATTTGTTCAGTAACGGAAATTAATTGGTAGACAGTTATTTAGAAACAAACTCCCTTATGGGTAGTGTTTGAAACTATGGTGAGAATCTTCAAACTCCAGGCCAGTGCATAAGCCACTCATGAATAGTTATGTAGAGTATGTATAATAACTAGACTTTATCGGAGAATCTCATACTTGCAGCGATGGAACCCAATGGAAGGCTTCACCAGTGTGCTGCTACCATCAGACCGAGCAAATTTTTCCAGTGCTGATGGCCTCGCACCACGACCCTTAAGCAGTGTCACTCTCCCAACTCTGGCATGGTCATGGGAGTCTGCATGGCACCTTCACTACACTCACAATGGGCAGGCTTTGGATAAGGAGGTAATAAAATTTTTTTTTTTTTTTCAGCTGTTTCTACAATATTTTTCTTCTTTTCTTTCCCTCGTTAAAATGTTATTCTAAATATGCTCATAAATCACGGCATGTACTTCTTAATGAAGTTACATTGCCATTTTGCTAAATGTCCAGGAAGACACCAAGTTAAAACTTTAATACTCAGTACTTAAGTATTCTCTAAGATGCAGTATTATACTGTGTGCCCTTTTCCAATCTTATGAGATATCCATGATCTATCTATATTTTACTTGCGGTATCTTTGCACTTAGATCTTCAGTTAGCAACTACGTATCTGAAACTAATTGTTACATGTGAGACATTGTGAGAGGAATGGAGAGCAGCTAGCATATTATCACTAGTAATTGTTATCAGTCTTTAGACAAGTATAAAAAGCTTTCTTGCATTCATTGTTATAGAGGGTAACTACTTACAGGGATGGACATATGCAATAGATTTCCCAAGAACGTACACAGCAGAGAAGAGATGGAATTCGTATGTTCGACGGCGCAAATGGATTCGTTACAGATGCTACGTGGCACTCGACACTTGGTCTGCAGTGCCGCCCATCCACCATGATCCTGCTCAAGTGAGGCATTCCATTAAGAATTTTAGGTCATAAATAAATCTGTACTATTTTCTGATTCTTTTATTTATTAAGTCTTAAAATGTCATAGATTTTACATTTCAGTTCAAAAAAAATCAACAAATGTATCTTCCCTTCTCTGTATATCTTTGGTCAGGTACTTGCGTATCGTACCGGCATACCTCTGACAGTCACCCGAGACCCTTAGCTTTTTAGTGACTTTCTTATTTTAATTTTCTCATTCCTGCTCCTTTTCGATATTTTTTTACTTCAAATATCTTCATTATTTTTCATTTTTTTTTATTTCATCAGCTGTCTACTGTTAAGGCAAGGTGACCCAAAAAAAGGGAAGTCACCACTCAATCACAGTCTTTCCAGAAGTATGCTGACATCACACTTCAGATTACCCTCTGACTGGAACATTCCTGCCCCTCCTGAGTGCAGGCAGTGCCTCTTTTATTGACACATAATAAATTCATAGGCTGAGAGCTATCACCAGACTTTTATTTGTTCTATCAGGAGCCATTTATTGACATCAGTGTGGGTGGTGGGGAGGTTCCTGGAGAAGACCCAGATAAGCTGATGGTCTGGTGTGTGACAGCTCTTGGGAGGGTAAGTGCTTCAACTTTTTATCTTCCTTATTATGACTCCAAGCTGGGTCCTTGATGCTGGTGAAGTACTCTTGATTCAAGGAATTGGAGCTATCCTTGCCTTGGATCAAACCCAATTACCTCTCATTCCCCAGATGGTGTAAAACCCATGTGATGGTGATGATTTCCTGTCTGTCAAGATTTGTATGTTTTTATTTATTTATTTATTTATTTATTAACAATTTGAGCACACATACAGAGGTACAAAAAAATACAGATAAGAGCAGCATGCGGCTCTTTGCATACACTAATTCTTATACTGTATCTGATAAGTTAATGATAATAACATTTTTGTGTTTAACAAATAATTATTAACACATGATAAGCATGAAATTACTTTTTTTTTCCATACTACTCATATTAAAGAAATAATTATTTATTAGATTATGGTTCGTGAGGGTGTAGACGGCACATGCCCTGAAGGGTGTGGCTGGGCACACGTTCCTACGCCGCCAGACCAGGATGTAACATCTGTGTGGGTTGGGCGCTCAGGACGAGTGTGGGCTGTCACTTGGGATGGTACGGCCATTGTCAGAACTGGAGTTAGCAGAGACTGTCCTACAGGTGATAAATTATGAGCATTTTGTTGATAATGTTAATAGGGAAAGTGTAAGAGCACAGGTTGTGAATTTTGAGTACAGGTGGGCTCTACATATACAGTAGGTTAGGTTCCAGGGTACATACTTCTGTAAAGTGAAACCTACCCCTTTTTTTTTTTTTTTTTTTTTCCCCAGATACACTTAAAAGCCTGATTAAATGTTTGCATTATCATACATTAACCCTTTTAGGGTCCAGACCCCCAATCTGAAAATTCCCCACAAGGTCCAAGAATTTAAAAAAAAATCTTATTTTTTTTCTTTTGAAATGGTAGAGAATCTTTTTCTGAAGGTAATAAATAAAAAAAATCCGAAAATTTATAAAAAAATTGACATTATGCTCTCACGAATCTTGCCGTGTCGGCAATATTTACACATCGGCGATTTTGCCTACTTTGAGTCCTATTTTCTGCTAATTACATTGTTCCATTAGACCAAATTCTTAGCTATTTTGCTAGTACAGTGGACCCCCGCATAACGATCACCTCCGAATGCGACCAATTATGTAAGTGTATTTATGTAAGTGCGTTTGTACGTGTATGTTTGGGGGTCTGAAATGGACTAATCTACTTCACAATACGTATTCCTTATGGGAACAAATTCGGTCAGTACCGGCACCTGAACATACTTCTAGAGTGAAAAAATACCATTAACCGGGGGTCCACTGTATATGTTCCATTTTATCTATTGAGCACAAGAAATTGCCCAGTCAACTATTTCAACTACCCATTGAAGTGATCGGAAATTGGTAATTTGGCCAATTTCACACAGTTTAAAATATTCCAATTTCAAAATAGGTCCAGAATAAACAATGCAGGTATTCCTGGCACTAAAATAACATTTCATCTGTGTATTAGGTTTCCAGGCTTTACACATGAATTCCATTTCATACCCAATTCATACCAAAAACATAGAAGATTTACAGTTATGTAATATTGTAATTATTGTATAAATAATATAAGAGCATTTGTGAATGTATTAGACCCACCAGTTGATGTGTATGAGACACGTAACGTGATTTGTTTACTCTTGAACATATGCAAAAATTTAACTTTTCTACTACTATGAGCCTAATTTCAAGCTACTTTCAGTCCTGAAACCAATCAAAATCATCTCTATTTCTGTAATATATCTTCCATTCTATCAAGAATATAACCATAAAAACCATGCAAAAATACACTGCAAAGTTGCTCATTTAAACTAAAAACACAATCCGTTGTTTTTCCTTGTGCAGTGTGTACTGCAGAATTTTTTTACGGTGCACACAAACCTCATAGACCCATTCTCTCGTATCTAGGCCCAAATTTACTGCTTTCAACTTACGAGTAAGCCAAGCTCATGGTGTAGTACTGTGAGATCGACCCTGGCTTCAAAGCCATAGTACAATGGGACTGACACCAAAAGGGTTAAGCATTAGGATTTGTCTGCCTCAAATGCACCGTTTGCTAGTGGCTTTCTTTTGTTCCTGATAACATTTTGTTACCATATTAACTGCATTACGGCTAACGATGTTAATCCGTTCCTGAGAGCTCATCGTTAGACGAAATTATCGTTAGCCGAATTAATTTTCCCCATAAGAAATAATGGAAATCCAATTAATCCGTTCCAGACAGCCAAAAGTATTAAAAAAAAATAATTTTTTTTTTTATGAAATATACATTTCCCTACAAAGAAAACAATGAGACATGCACAATAACTATAAATAACTGTTAAAATGACACTTACCTTTATTGAAGAGTATTGATGAGTGATGAGACACTTTTTCTTGAACACTGGGATTTTCAGAGTGATACATGAGTAAAGGCTTCACTTTGCAATCCCCACTACCATTACAACAAAACAAGAAAGTTAGCCTGTCTTTCATAGGCTTGTGTCCTGGGAGTGCCTTTTCCTCCTGAGTAATGCAGGTCCTGTTTGGCATTTTCTTCCAGAACAGGCCTGTTTCATCACAATTTAACACTTGTTGGGGTTGGAATTTTTCAGCTTCACCATGCCTTATCACACTGTGTATGCCACTACGATTCTTAAATCTCTCAAACCAACCTTTGCTGGCCTTAAATTCACCAATATGAGCACTAGTTCCAGACATTTTTTCCTGTTTACATGGGTGTTAGTCGACTGGTGTAGGTCGCATCCTGGGGGACAAGATTAAGGACCCCAGTGGAAATAAGTTAGTCCTCGATGACTCACTGACTTTCTTGGGTTATCCTGGGTGGCTAACCCTCTGGGGTTAATTGTTTCTCATTAAGCCACACCAACAACAGTCTCTCCACATCTTTGAGTAGTACAGCTGACGGTGATGCAGCAACAGCTGATGGTGGTGCAGCAGCAGCTGACCATGGTACGATAGTATTTCTCGACCTTTTTACCACAGGGTTGGCACTAGAAGCTTTCTTTGGGCCCATGGTGGCTTATTTAGCAGTTACATGCACTATGAACAATGGAATAATACAAAATGTATCGAATGTATGCATGAAACCAGACATCCTGGCTTGTAAACAATGACAGCAGGGCAGCTGAGGTGCTCAGGCTGGACGGACAGGTTCAGGACGAATCACTTTGGATGAGCTTTTTATCGTTAGCCAGGCCAAAATTTTTACGCTCAAACGTTTCGTTGGGCAGATTTAAAGTTATGTGATGCGTTTGTTAGCAGAGGGTCCACTGTATTTCTATACTGTATTACCTTACATATTATTATTATTATTTTTTTTTCCCCAACAAGTTGACAGTCTCCCACCAAGGCAGGGTGACCGAAAGAGAAAGAAAATACCCAAAAAGAAAATACTTTCAGCATTCAACACTTTCACCTCACTCACACAAAATCACTGTTTTTGCAGAGGTGCCCAGAATATAACAGTTTAGAAGTACGTATATACGTATAAAAATACACAATACAGTGGACCCCCGCATAACGATCACCTCCGAATGCGACCAATTATGTAAGTGTATTTATGTAAGTGCGTTTGTACGTGTTTGTTTGGGGGTCTGAAATGGACTAATCTACTTCACAATATACCTTATGGGAACAAATTTGGTCAGTACTGGCACCTGAACATACTTCTGGAGTGAAAAAATATCGTTAACCGGGGGTCCACTGTATATGTCTCCAAACTGCCAATATTATTATTTTTATTAATCAAGAAACATTTGATGTGTTACACAGGAGTTGAATGGGTGGTGGTTGATCCTCCAGAGGGCAGCCGTCTGCAGCAAGTTGCAGTTGGTGTTAACTCGGTGTGGGGAATAACAAGAGATCACCGTGTGTGGTATAGAAGAGGCTTGCAGGCTTCTCAGGACACAGGAAGTGATAGTGGAAAGCATGATAATGAGACTGGGCATAAGAATCTGGATACTGGCACTACCTGGCTTTTAATGGTTGGCCTATTAAATATGATTGCTGTTGGTCCTAATGATCAGGTGAGTAATGATGTATGAAGTGTCTTGTGTATGTTGTCTTTAAGTTGACTACAATGTCCCTTCAAGGGAGAGGAAAGAGAGGAATTGCCTTTGTTGGTGAAGGGTTCTTGATAGTACCAGAAATAAGAGCTTATATTTTCTCACTTGGCTCAAACCTGTAAGTCAGACAATTGCATGAGTGGGTGTGAGTTGGACTTGCCTAGAATGGGTCAGTAGGCCTGCTACAGTGCTTCTCCTTTCATATGTTCTTAGTGTATACATATCCAGCTCAATGAAACTTGTTAAAATTCCACAGTCTAGTGGTTAGAGCACTGGCTTGCTAGTCTTAGGACAGGCAAGCCAGTTCTAAGACTAGCAAGGTGTATATTCTTTATTTGATGACATTTTATAGTTTACTGCAACATACCTGTACACTGCATAAGCAATATAGTGCTTGTTCAACTAATACTGTAAGGCTGTAATGTTTGAATTTTATGATGCATTATTTACTAGTTTGACGTATAATTGAAATTGGTAATATTATGCTTCACAGTGAGGTAGTGATATAATTTAATGAGTTACTTTGATTTTACTTTATTACAGGTGTGGGGTATAAGCATTGAGGATCACACAATTCTGGTGCGGACAGGTGTGACTGAAACTGAGCTCACTGGACGCACATGGCGACCCATCTGTCTCCCAGCAGGCACGTTTGAGACCCCACCTCCCAGTATGAACTCCAGCCCCAGCTCGAGTCCATGTTTGCTGCCTTTCCCAACTTCAAAAATCTCTAGTAGCATAGATAGCAAACAACCTACAGACACTTTTACCAAAGACGAGCAAAGTAGTCCCAGCTCGAGCACAGGCGTTAGTTTAAAGGCATTGGAAGACAATGATCTTGTTATTGCAGAGAAGGTATTTGATAAACTACAGTTATTACAAGTCCAAGATGCAGAAACAGAGCAAGAAAACGATGTGAAATTGTCTCGAAAAGAAAATGATGAAAGTCCTGGTAAAGAAAGTGTGAAAAATCATGATACGACCACACAGAATGAAGGTAACGACTCTGCGGCTCCAGATGACAGTCGGGAGTCTAGCATCAGAATCCGGTACCCAGAGGATTATCCCAGTTCACTTAGCTCATCGGTAATCTCTGAACATGGCGGAGACTTCATCAGCAGTCTCCAAGCCTCTGATGATTGCATTTTACCCAGTGATGCTTTGGTAGCAAGTCAAAATAGTTCTGAAGTAAAGACATCTCATGAAAAGGTTAGTGAAGATGCTGATAGTACAGACATACAGAGTCGAGAAAACAGTACTGCTGCAAGTAACAATCAGGTGAAACCCGAGAAACAGGAACATCTGTTAATCCATGCTGAACAGCAGAGTACAAGCTCCAGCATGGAGTGGAGCGAGTCTCGTCTGCGGCACACTAGCAGCAGCAGCAGTGCCGGCAGTGAAGCAGGCTTGAGTCGTGGATCACTTGTGGTCCCACGAGAGGAAGGTGCAAACTACAAACTACTTGCACTTGAAGCAGAGCACCTGTGGTTGTGGGTGACTGGTGGAGGATGCTGGATACGAGCTAATAATATGCCCAAGTGGTGAGTCTTGCATGATTGTCTTATACTGTAGTTTGTCTCGGCTAAGGAAGCCTATCAAGTTGAGTCCTATCACTGCTGTTGTTAATGTGTAGTGTAGAATATGTAATGCAATTCTTCCATCATATTTGTTTAGATGTTGATTCAGCTTTGTAGATAATTTCTTTTGTATTTATGCTTCTTCAACATCCTCTTGTTCTGTGTTGTGGATTTTCAAGAGGCTACTCTGTGTATATTTTGGTAGCTTGTGTCTAATGTTTTAAATTATTTGTATGGGTGCTCCTCGACTTACGATGGAGTTACATTCTGGTGAACCCATCATAAGGTGAAAATATTGCAAGTTCAGTACAGTGGACCCCCGCATAACGATCACCTCCGAATGCGACCAATTATGCAAGTGTATTTATGCAAGTGCGTTTGTACGTGTATGTTTGGGGGTCTGAAATGGACTAATCTACTTCACAATATTCCTTATGGGAACAAATTCGGTCAGTACTGGCACTTGAACATACTTCTGGAGTGAAAAAATATTGTTAACCGGGGGTCCACTGTATACGTAATATGATAAATAAGTAAATAACTAACTACTGTCACTGAATAAGTAAATAAACACATAATTACTGTAACTAAATACCAGTACTGAAAGGTAAATGACTTCTCGTGGTGCAGCAATGTTCTTAACAATGTTAGATGTTAAAATGCATCACTGTCGTACCATTGTAAAGTCAAAATGTTGTAACTCAAACCATCGTCAAGTGAGGAGCATCTATACAGCTTTACAGGGTAGTACTATTTGATAAGGTCAAGCACATAACTTGTGAAGCAGAGATTATCATACTGTACTTACTCATACTGTGTATATAACCTCAATAAAGTGTTCTTATCATGTTTTATGTTAATTAACCAAGTACATGTACTAGTCAGTGTCATCTTGCTGCCATTTCTTCACAAGCTAAATATTTTTTACTACTATAGTTAAAAGTGGATTATTGTTATTTTAATTTTTTCTGTTATTTTTGTTATTATTTTAACTTACCAGCTGTCTCCCCAAGACAGGATGATCTAAAAAGAAAAGGAAAATTTTTCTTTTTACATTTAGTAATTTATACAGAAGGGGTTACTAGCCCCTTGTTCCTGGCATTTGTCTCCTCTTGTGACATTCATGGCTTATGGAAGAAGAATTCTTTTTCACTTCCCCATGGATTATTATTATTATTATTATTCATGAGTGCTGAATTCTTGAAGGTTATAGAGCACCTGGGAAAAAGTAGGTAACCAGGTTTGATATAAGGGAAGGGATGGTAGCTCTAATAATATCGATCAAGAGCCCTCCCCAATACCTAGGTGGAACTTCAAATAACTGATGTTTATTTGCGTGTCTCAAGTACTTGGGGTTAAAAGTAGAAAATGACAATTGCAAGAAAGCTGTGAAATTGTGTAAAATAAATTAAAAGTATTAGAAAAGTCCCAGTAATACCCTAAAGCAGTTTTCCTGGCTACCATGTGACTATGGGGTATGTAGAATACTGCAGGAGTCTCGTCTGGGTGTAGCACTTTCCCATGTACCTTTATCAGGTCTTGAAAGTTGTCCTGGTGCAAAGCTTGGTCCTAGGCTAGGCTTGCCTAGTGCCTGTCTGGTCAAGCATACTCTTGCTGCTGGTGGCTCTGACCCACATATCCATCACAGCCTGGTTGATCCAGCACTTGGCAGAAGTACTTGTCAGGTTTCCTCTTGAAGGCTTTTACACTTGCTCCAGCAGTATTTCCCTTGTCTGCTGCTACAGTGTCAAATAGTCTAGGAAATAAATGTTGATACAGTGTTCTCTTATTACGCACATGCACATGTCTTAGCTGGTACAGTTCACTTCATCAACTGACTGCCCTTTCCTTCATCTAACTTTCTTCTCTAAATGCCACTTTTCTTTCCACTTTCTTTCCCCACCCACAGAATGGGTGGGGATTGAACCCATGGCAAGCGAGTCCTAAAACTCCAGTTTGGTGCTTACCATAATATATTTTTTTAACGTGCCATCCATCTCCACCCAAGGTCGGCTGACCCAAGAAAAGAGGAAAGACCTTTGCTGTCATTCATTCAATTGCTGTCTTTTCAGAAGCATACAGACAGCACAGTTTAGATGACCCTCTGAATTGCAACATTCCCACTCCTTCAGGAAGCAAACAAAATACTTCACTCCTCCAGGACTTGTGTATAACTAGCTGGTTTCCCTGAATACCTTAATAAATAGTCATTATACAGGTGGGCACCATTTTACAGTGCTTTGCTTTACGATGTTTCACTTATACCCGTTCTTCACTTACACCCATTCTTCATTTATTCAGACTCCCTACAATAAATATATTCACCACTTACTATAAGCTAAGGATAAAAATATTTTAAAGTAATGTGTGTACTGTATATTCATTTTTTTAGGCCTATCTGTATTGCTCACTTAATGGTGTAAACATGTTATCAGGTTTTTATTTGCATTTGAAAGTGAAAAAAAGGTCTTTTTTTTTTATTGGCCATGTCTCATTTGTTTTTTATTTCAGACACTTGTTTGGAGGGGTATGTTATGTATGCTTCTAAACTGTTGTATCTGGGTGCCTATGCAAAGTCAGTGATTGTGTGAGTTAGGTGAAAGTGTTGAAAGATGATGAAAGTATTTTCTTATTGGGGATTTTCTTTCTTTTTTGGTCACCCTGCCTTGGTGAGAGACGGCCGACTTGTTAAAAAAAAAAACTTGTAATTATACTTTGTTTCAATTGCTGTCTGTTTACAGGTTTGTGAGTGAATGTTGCCCAGCACTTTCTACAGAACCTTGGAGAGTTGGTGTGCTACAAAAGCTACGTGATCGACATGGGAAAGAAATGAAACCATTTACAGGGTGTGTATGATGCAGCAGCAAAAGATCAGCTGTTTTTGTTTTTTACTCAATGCTACAAGTACTAAGTATTGTCCCTGAGTTAAAAACTGAATCTTACAAAGTACATGTGCTTCTTATCCTTAACCCTCTTGTGCATATCCTTATCCTTCAAGGGGATGGGTATCTTTATACTAGTGAAGGGCTCTTAATACAAGGCATGTGGGCTACTTTCCCATTCCTTGGATAAAATTTAATTACCTCCCATTTTCCAGGTGCTATATAATTCCTCCAGTTTTAGGACTTTCCCCTGATGATGGTAATAATTCATATCTGCACACCTCTGGCAAGACAGTGATAGTGTGAATGATGGTGAAAGTGTTTCTTTTTTGGGTCACCCTGCCTTGGTGGGAGATGGCCAGTGTCAAAAAAAATTAATATGCATACATCTTGCGAATATAGTACATACATTGTTGTCCATCTTGCAAGTGCAATGTCCTTCCATGTCTGATCTTAACTCATTTCCTCACTGTTTACTGTTATACAATGCGTCATTATTGCTATGCTGCACAGGTACGAGGAAGCAGTTGAAGGTTCGTCCTGGGTAATATCTGGACAGTGTCGCTGGTGGGTGAAGGGACAGTGGGTACCAGCATCACTAGAGCTCATCATGATTGGCTCACGAAGGTCACAGGTGCAGGATGCAACGTTGATCGTGAGATACACTCTGGGATCAAAGCGAGTGGTACGTGATTAGGATATAGTTGAGGGACATCTCTTCAAGGGAGGTGCCTTGATGCTGGTGAAGGGCTCTTGATCCAAGGTATTTGAGCCACTTCCTTTTTCCTGTAGAGGTAGAGTTCAGCATTTAGAATGTTGGTACAGTATAAAGTTTGTGCCACACATTTGTTACTGGTGTGATCCCACAACCAGAAGACCCAGTCAGGGTAAAGATATTTATTTCTGGTGCAACGATTGTGAAACAGCAGCTTGCTTCAGACTGTTTCATTATGTTATATATAATGATGGTGACTGAATGATGTTGAATGTGTTTTCTTCCCTGTGTCACCTTGCCTTGGTGGGAAATGGCCCCATAAATATAGTAGTCCCCCCATATCCGTGGGTGATACGGATGTGGGGAGAATATATGTCACTTTCCGTTTACATATATGCCTATTAAAAAGTTTAATTGATAAATTACACATGGTAGGACATCACAATCTTGATGGGTGAGAATCGTTGACAGTGGTTTGTTTTTTCAACACTGCAACGAATGGAGACAGCGAGAGCGCTAGAGGCTAACTGGATGCAAGTATAGTGGGGCAGTGTGGGTACAGAGAGAGAGAGAGAGAGAGAGAGAGAGAGAGATATATAGAGAGAGAGAGAGTATATATATGAGAGAGAGATTATATTATATATATATAATATATAATATATAATAATTCTTTCTTCTTTCAACACACGGAAGTTATCCACCGAGGCGGGGTGGGCCCAAAAGGAAAACAACGTAAGTTTCTCCTTTTACATTTGTAAATATAACAGGAGAAGAGGTTTATAGCCCCTTGCTCCAGGGCATTTATTAGGTGCCTCTTACAACACGCATGGGTTAGGAGGAAGAATTCTGTCCACTTCCCCATGGAGATAAGAGGAAATAAACAAGAATAAGAAAAATAAGAAAATAGAAGAAAACAAGAGGGTGTGTATTAATTTTGTGCTTGTACATGTATGTGTAGTGTGACCTAAGTGTAAGTAGAATAGAAGAAAGTATCTGAAATCTTGATGTTCATGGAGAAGAAAAAAGGACACCAGCAATCCTACCATCATGTAAAACAATAAGGCTTTCGTTTTTCACTCATTGGGCAGGACGGTAGTACCTCCCTGGGCGGTTGCTGCTACCAACCTACTACTTTAAATATATATTTTATATTATATTTTATATAATATATAGGAGAGAGAGGATGATTAAAATATATAATTATATAAAGAGAGAGAGAGTTATATATATTATATAGAGAAGAGAGAGATATATATATATATATAGAGAGAAAGATATATATATATATATATATATATGATATATATAATATTATATTTATATAAATATATATATATAATATTTAATTATTCTCATGGGGAAGTGGAACAGATTCTTCCTCAGTAAACTGCGTGTTGTAAGAGGCGTAAATGCCGGGAGAAGGGGCTAGTAACCCTTCTCGATTATTATTAAACATTTGAAAAGGAAGAAACTTTGGTTTTTCTTTTGGGCCACCTGCTCGGGGGATACGCACGGTGTGTTGAATGAAAGAAAGAAATTATATATATATAAGATATTATAATATATTATATATATATATATATATATATATAAATATATTATATATTATAGGTAGTAGGTTGGTAGACAGCAACGCCCAGGGAGGTACTACCGTCCTGCCAAGTGAGTGTAAACGAAGCCTGTGATTGTTTTTTCATGATGGTTTGGATTGCTGATGTCTTTTGTTTTGTCTCATAAAAATGCAAGATTACAGGCATGTCTTGCTACTTCTACTTACACTTAGGTCACACTACACATACATGGTACACATTTATTTATACACACTCATCTGGTGTTTTCTTTGATTTTATCTTAATAGTTCTTGGTCTTATTAATTTTCCTTTTATATCCATGGGGAAGTGGAATAAGAATCTTTCCTCCGTAAGCCATGCGTGTTGTAAAAGTCAACTAAAATGCCGGGAACAATGGGCTAGTAACCCCTTTTCTGTAAAGATTACTAAAAAGAATAAGAAGAAGAAAATTGTTCAAAGTGGGAAGTCTGAATGTGCGTGGATGTTGTGCAGATGATAAGAAAGAGATGATTGTGGATGTTATGAATGAGATAGAAGCTGGATGTCCTGGCTTTAATGTGAAACAAAGCTGAAGGGGGTGGGAGAGTTTCAGTGGAGAGGAATAAATGGGATTAGGTCAGGGGTTTCAAATAGAGTTAGAGCTAAAGAAGGAGTAGCAATAATGTTGAAGGATAAGCTATGGCAGGAAAAGAGGGACTATAAATGTATTAAATTAAAGGGATATGTGGAGTAAAATAAGATTGGATGTGAAAGTGGGTTATAATAAGCGTGTATGCCACCTGGAGAAGAGAGAAGTGTAGAGGAGAGAGAGAGATTTTGGGAAATGTTGAGTGAATGCGTGGGGAGTTTTGAATCAAGTGTGAGAGTAATGGTGGTTTGGGGATTTTAATGCTAAAGTGGGTAAAAATGTTATGGAGGGAGTAGTAGGTAAATTGGTGTGCCAGGGGTAAATGTAAATGGGGAGCCTTTAATTGAGCTATGTGTAGAAAGAAATTTGGTAATAAGTAATACATATTTTATGAAAAAGAGGATAAATAAATATACAAGGTATGATGTAGCACGTAATGAAAGTAGTTTATTAGATTATGTATTGGTGGATAAAGGTTTGATGGGTAGGCTCCAGGATGTACATGTTTATAGAGGGGCAACTGATATATCGGATCATTATTTAGTTGTAGCTACAGTTAGAGTAAGAGGTAGAGGGGAAAAGAGGAAGGTGGCAACAACAAGTAAAGGAGGTGAAAGTGTATAAACTAAAGGGAGGAGGAAGTTCGGGTGAGATATAAGCGACTATTGGCAGAAAGGTGGGCTAGTGCAAAGATGAGTAGTGGGGGGGTTGAAGAGGGTTGGAATAGTTTAAAAATGCAGTATTAGAATGTGGGGCAGAAGTTTGTGGTTATAGGAGGTGGGGCAGGAGGAAAGAGGAGTGATTGGTGGAATGATGAAGTAAAGGGTGTGATAAAAGAGAAAAAGGTAGCTTATGAGAGGTTTTTACAAAGCAGAAGTGTTATAAGAAGAGCAGAGTATATGGAGAGTAAAAGAAAGGTAAAGAGAGTGGTGAGAGAGTGCAAAAGGAGAGCAGATGAAGAGTGGGAGAGGCACTGTCAAGAATTTTAATGAAAATAAGAAAAAATTTTGGAGTGAGTTAAACAAGTTAAGAAAGCCTAGGGAAAATATGGATTGTCAGTTAAAAACAGAGTAGGGAGTTAGTAGATGGGGAGATGGAGGTATTGGGTAGATGGCGAGAATATTTTTGAGGAACTTTTAAATGTTAAGGAAGAAACAGAGGCAGTAATTTCATGCACTGGTCAGGGAGGTATACCATCTTTTAGGAGTGAAGAAGAGCAGAATGTAAGTGTGGGGAGGTACGTGAGGCATTACGTAAAATGAAAGGGGGTAAAGCAGCTGGAACTGATGGGATCATGACAGAAATGTTAAAAGCAGGGGGGGATATAGTGTTGGAGTGGTTGGTACTTTGTTTAATAAATGTATGAAAGAGGGGAAGGTACCTAGGGATTGGCAGAGAGCATGTATAGTCCCTTATATAAAGGGAAAGGGGACAAAAGAGACTGTAAAAATTATAGAGGAATAAGCTTACTGAGTATACCAGGAAAAGTGTACGGTAGGGTTATAATTGAAAGAATTAGAGGTAAGACAGAATGTAGGATTGCGGATGAGCAAGGAGGTTTTAGAGTGGGTAGGGGATGTGTAGATCAGGTGTTTACATTGAAGCATATATGTGAACAGTATTTAGATAAAGATAGGGAAGTTTTTATTGCATTTATGGATTTAGAAAAGGCATATGATAGAGTGGATAGAGGAGCAATGTGGCAGATGTTGCAAGTATATGGAATAGGTGGTAAGTTATTAAATGCTGTAAAGAGTTTTTATGAGGATAGTGAGGCTCAGGTTAGGGTGTGTAGAAGAGAGGGAGACTACTTCCCGGTAAAAGTAGGTCTTAGACAGGGATGTGTAATGTCACCATGGTTGTTTAATATATTTATAGATGGGGTTGTAAAGGAAGTAAATGCTAGGGTGTTTGGGAGAGGGGTGGGATTAAATTATGGGGAATCAAATTCAAAATGGGAATTGACACAGTTACTTTTTGCTGATGATACTGTGCTTATGGGAGATTCTAAAGAAAAATTGCAAAGGTTAGTGGATGAGTTTGGGAATGTGTGTAAAGGTAGAAAGTTGAAAGTGAACATAGAAAAGAGTAAGGTGATGAGGGTGTCAAATGATTTAGATAAAGAAAAATTGGATATCAAATTGGGGAGGAGGAGTATGGAAGAAGTGAATGTTTTCAGATACTTGGGAGTTGACGTGTCGGCGGATGGATTTATGAAGGATGAGGTTAATCATAGAATTGATGAGGGAAAAAAGGTGAGTGGTGCGTTGAGGTATATGTGGAGTCAAAAAACGTTATCTATGGAGGCAAAGAAGGGAATGTATGAAAGTATAGTAGTACCAACACTCTTATATGGGTGTGAAGCTTGGGTGGTAAATGCAGCAGCAGAGGAGACGGTTGGAGGCAGCGGAGATGTCCTGTTTAAGGGCAATGTGTGGTGTAAATATTATGCAGAAAATTCGGAGTGTGGAAATTAGGAGAAGGTGTGGAGTTAATAAAAGTATTAGTCAGAGGGCAGAAGAGGGGTTGTTGAGGTGGTTTGGTCATTTAGAGAGAATGGATCACAGTAGAATGACATGGAAAGCATATAAATCTATAGGGGAAGGAAGGCGGGGTAGGGGTCGTCCTCGAAAGGGTTGGGAGAGAGGGGGTAAAGGAGGTTTTGTGGGTAAGGGGCTTGGACTTCCAGCAAGCGTGCGTGAGCGTGTTAGATAGGAGTGAATGGAGACGAATGGTACTTGGGACCTGACGATCTGTTGGAGTGTGAGCAGGGTAATATTTAGTGAAGGGATTCAGGGAAACCGGTTATTTTCATATAGTCGGACTTGAGTCCTGGAAATGGGAAGTACAATGCCTGCACTTTAAAGGAGGGGTTTGGGATATTGGCAGTTTGGAGGGATATGTTGTGTATCTTTATATGTTTATGCTTCTAGACTGTTGTATTCTGAGCACCTCTGCAAAAACAGTGATAATGTGCGAGTGTGGTGAAAGTGTTGAATGATGATGAAAGTATTTTCTTTTGGGGATTTTCTTTCTTTTTTGGGTCACCCTGCCTCGGTGGGAGACGGCCGACTTGTTGAAAAAAAAAAAAAAAAAAAAATATTTTGTATATAATATATATATATATATATATATATATATATATATATATATATATATATATATATTATATATAAGAGAGAGAGAGATATATATTATATTAAATAGAAGTATATATTATATATATATATATATAGATATATATATTATATATTGATTAGAGAGAGAGAGAGATATATATATAGAGAGAGAGAGATATATATATAGAGAGAGAGAGATATATATAGAGAGAGAGATATATATAGAGAGAGAGAGATATGTATAGAGAGAGAGAGATATATATATAGAGAGAGAGAGATATATATAGAGAGAGAGAGATATATATAGAGAGAGAGATATATATAGAGAGAGAGATATATATATATAGAGAGAGAGAGATATGTATAGAGAGAGAGAGAGAGAGATATGTATAGAGAGAGAGAGAGAGATGAGTCATTTACTCAGCATGATGGGGCAGGAAGGTTTCATCATGTTACTCAGAATGGTCCACAATTTGAAACTTAATTAAGAATCATTTATTTCTGGAATTTTCCATTTAATATTTTCGGTCTGTGGTAAACCATGAATAACTGAAACTGCAGAAACCAAATCCACAGATACAGAGGTTCTACTATATTACAACTAACTAAATAACAAAGATAAATTAAATATATAACTACTATTATATATGATAGTTATAATAAACAGTTTGATGTTGTGAACCATTGTAAGTGTTGCCAGATGTTCCAAAACAAATGGTAGTGAAAGGGTGTGCACCACACTGTAGTGAGCAAGCATGTGTACACCACACACTGTAGTGAGCAAGCATGTGTACACCACACATTGTAGTGAGCAAGCATGTGTACACCACACACTGTAGTGAGCAAGCATGTGTACACCACACATTGTAGTGAGCAAGCATGTGTACACCACACATTGTAGTGAGCAAGCATGTGTACACCACACATTGTAGTGAGCAAGCATGTGTACACCACACATTGTAGTGAGCAAGCATGTGTACACCACACATTGTAGTGAGCAAGCATGTGTACACCACACACTGTAGTGAGCAATCATGTGTGCACCACACACTGTAGTGAGCAAGTATGTGTACACCACACACTGTAGTGAGCAATCATGTGTGCACCACACACTGTAGTGAGCAAATTGACACAACTGTTGGTGTGAGCACGGTGCACCACACACTGTAGTGAGCATGTGTGCACCACACACTGTAGTGAGCATGTGTGCACCACACTGTAGTGAGCATGTGTGCACCACACTGTAGTGAGCATGTGTGCACCACACACTGTAGTGAGCATGTGTGCACCACACACTGTAGTGAGCATGTGTGCACCACACACTGTAGTGAGCATGTGTGCACCACACACTGTAGTGAGCATGTGTGCACCACACACTGTAGTGAGCATGTGTGCACCACACTGTAGTGAGCATGTGTGCACCACACACTGTAGTGAGCATGTGTGCACCACACACTGTAGTGAGCACATGTGCACCACACACTGTAGTGAGCACGTGTGCACCACACACTGTAGTGAGCACGTGTGCACCACACACTGTAGTGAGCATAGTGAGCACGTGTGCACCACACACTGTAGTGAGCATGTGTGCACCACACACTGTAGTGAGCATGTGTGCACCACACACTGTAGTGAGCATGTGTGCACCACACACTGTAGTGAGCACGTGTGCACCACACACTGTAGGGGAGCAGTGTGCACCACACACTGTAGTGAGCATGTGTGCACCACCATGTAGTGAGCACGTGTGCACCACACACTGTAGTGAGCACGTGTGCACCAACACACTGTAGTGGCAGTGTGCACCAACCACGTAGTGAGCATGTGTGCACCACAGTGTGCACCACACACTGTAGTGAGCACGTGTGCACCCCCACCCCTTTTGTGAGCACGTGTGCCCCAAACACACTGTAGTGAGCACGTGTGCACCACACACTGTAGTGAGCACGTGTGCACCACCACCCATGTAGTGAGCACGTGGCACCACACAACTGTAGTGGGTGTGTGCACCACACACTGTAGTGAGCGTGTGTGCACCACACCTGTAGTGACCCGCGTGTCCCACCACCACTGTAGTGGCATGTGTGCACCACAGTGGCACCACACACTTTTGTGGCACTTTTGTGCACCACACACTGTAGTGAGCACGTGTGCACCACACACTGTAGTGAGCACGTGTGCACCACACACTGTAGTGAGCACGTGTGCACCACACACTGTAGTGAGCACGTGTGCACCACAGTGTAGTAAGTCATACTATATACAGTAAGGGATAGGGATGTAGATAAGAAGGTTGGTAGGTAAACAAAGTTGAGATACCAGTACAAGCTGTCATCAGTCACCTTTACATTAACAGGAGGAAATTTCCTGCAGCACAATCCTTATGAGTGTCATGTGTGTGGAACCCACTGCTAGTCGATCTTTTGTTGCTATTTACCATCCCGACCATCCCCTCTGGCCCAAGACCCTCTCCTTCTCTGCCGAGACTGATGCCGAGGACTGGCTTAATCATTTATCAACTGGTAAGTGAATTAACTTATGATTAGTTCTGTTGAACTTATAGTAAGTTGAAAATATCACGAGTCAAATATGAATGATAGAATAAATAAGTATATAAATAACTACTGTCACTAAATAAGTAAATAAACAAATAATTACTGTAATTTTCAGGTTAGTGTGACTTGGCAATATAATAGCATTTCATGGTATATATTATAGCCTTGTAAAATGAAAGTCATGATGTTATGGCAATTATTTCAAAATTTAGAGAGGAAACATTGAAGGGTCTTTTGGCCTCTACTTGATAATGGTCTGGCTTAGGCAAGATTTTTCTGGCAACAGGACAACTTAGGGTCTTAGTCATATGATGACCTGCAGCTGGAGCTTTTGGTCATCTGACAGAGGTTTTTGCTAGCATGCTAGTCCACACATTTAAAAATTATAATTACATCCAGGACAGGCCTCAATGTCTTAAGTTCATCTTTAAATTGTGGGTTAATTTCATCTGTCTTATCTTGTAAATACAATTTCAGCTTGTAATCAGTTTCGTGGTTTGACTGACCAGCCATCATTCTACACAGTGTGGGGTGTGACCTCACAGGGAGATATATTTCTTCATGATTGTTCCACAACTGAAAAAGAAGTAAGTTTTATACTGCTAAAGACTACTAATCTATAAACTTGTATTGCTATATTCATCATAATATCTCCAGTGTTTTTTTTCCTCATGTATGTACAACACTATAGACCCAATATACAGGAGGCCCTCCATATTTGCGAGGGTTAGGGGATCAAGAACCTTGCGAATCTTGAAAATTCGCGAATGTTCGGTGCGCAAATATGATGCAGGGAAATATAATAGTACTGTACTGTAGCATTCGCGAATATTTTGATGTAGGGAAATATGATAATAGCATTTACTTGGCCTAACATGAGAACATCGTAGAATATTGTATAAACATGTTATGGTTTAATAAATAATGAACAAACAAAACACTCATCACTCACAAGGTTAGGCAGACGAACTCTGACGACTTGTGATGATGATGACGATGATGATGGTGGTGATAAAGTTAGCCATGCAGTTACTGATGACAGTTGAATGGAGGTGATTATATGGAGTGTAACTGCATGGTATGACGAGTCTATATATATATATATATATATATATATATATCTTCTTTCAACCCACCGGCCGTATCCCACTGAGGTGTGATGGCCTAAAAGGAAAAACAAAAGTTTTCCCTTTTAAATTTAGTAATATATACAGGAGAAGGAGTTACTAGCCCCTTGCTCCCGGCATTTTAGTCGCCTCTTACAACACGCATGGCTTACAGAGGAAGAATTCTGTTCCACTTCTCCATGGAGATAAGAGGAAATAAACAAGAACAAGAACTAGAAAGAAAATAGAAGAAAACCCAGAGGGGTGTGTATATATATGCTTGTTCATGCATGTGTTGTGTGACCTAAGTGTAAGTAGAAGTAGCAAGATGTATCTGAAATCTTGCATGCTTATGAGACAGAAAAAAGACACCAGCAATTCTACCATCATGTAGAACAATTACAGGCTTTCATTTTACACTCGCCTGGCAGGACGGTAGTGAGTGTAAAACGAAAGCCTGTAATTGTTTTACATGATGGTAGGATTGCTGGTGTCCATTTTTCTGTCTCAAACATGCAAGGTTTCTGGTATGTTTTGCTACTTCTACTTACACTTAGGTCACACTACACATACATGTACAAGCATATATATATATATACACACCCCTCTGGGTTTTCTTCTATTTTCTTACTAGTTCTTGTTCTTGTTTATTTCCTGTTAACTCCATGGGGAAGCGGATCAGAATTCTTCCTCCGTAAGCCAAGCGTGTTGTAAGAGGCGACTAAAATGCCAGGAGCAAGGGGCTAGTAACCCCTTCTGTATAAATTACTAAATTTAAAAAGAGAAACTTTGTTTTTCTTTTTGGGCCATCCTGCCTCAGTGGGATATGGCCGGTTTGTTGATAGAAGAAGAAGAATATATATACATACACTGTACATATATATACCCTGCCTCGGTGGGAGACAGCTGACTTGTTGAAAAAAAAAAAATGTATCACAGGTGGTAGGTTGCTAGACAGCAACCGCCCAGGGAGGTACTCCCGTCCTGCCAAGTGAGTGTAAAATGTAAGCCTGTAATTGTTTTACATGATGGTAGGATTGCTGGTGTCCTTTTTTCTGTCTCTTAAACATGCAAGATTTCAGGTATGTCTTGCTACTTCTGCTTACACTTAGGTCACACTACACATACATGTACAAGGGTGTGTGTACATACTCCTCTGGGTTTTCTTCTGTTTTCTTTCTAGTTCTTGTTTATTTCCTCTTATCTCCATGGGGAAGTGGAACAGAATTCCTCCTTCGTATGCCATGCGTGTCGTAAGAGCTGACTAAAATGCTGGGAGCAAGGGGCTAGTAACCCCTTCTCCTGTGTTTGCATCGCTATTTGCTGTGTTCGCATCGCTATTGGGCCGTGCGGACGTGCTGCGCAGTAGCTCCTGATTGAGTTGGCTTTTGCGCAGTGTTGACGTGTACTTAGCTCTGTGAAGACCTGTTTGCGCGCTCTCTACGAATTGAAGCAAGATGCCCTCCATCGAGCAACTTTACCAACAGCTTAAGGAAGAATTGAGGATGGCGAAGTTGGAGATTCGGCGACTGACCGAGGAAAACAAGAAGATTCGTAGTAGTCCTCCTGTTTTGAGTCCTCAGGTCAAGAAGGGAAACTGGTCAGTGGCTGGACAGCAGGGAACGAAGTTGACGATTAAGAAGACGAATGGAAAGGTAGAAACGATGAAGAAGAAAGAGACTGCCGTGGAAACTGTTGTGGAAACATCTAATACATTCTCAGTGCTACCCGACGAATGTGAGTCGACTACTGGGAACATCACGACGAACGACACCAAGGAAGGTAAGAATATTGTTGTTGTTGGGGATAGCCAAGTTAGGTATATGGATAGGGCATTCTGCTTGAAGGACAGGAGTAGGAGACAGAGTTTGCTTTCCTGGGGCTGGGATGGAGGATATTGTTAGCCGTCTGGATGACATCATGAGAGGTAATGGGAGCAATCCTATTATCTGTCTCAGTGCTGGAGGCAACGATGTTGGCAGACGTAGGAGTGAAGACCTGATTAGCAGGTATAGGTCAGCAATAGAAATAATTAGGAGTAAGGGTGGGAACCCTGTCATGTGGTATTTTGCCAAGGAGAGAGAGTTGGAAATGAATGGTTGTCCAGGGCAATTGGTGTCAATTGCTGGCTGGACAAATACTGTAAGGAAAATGCGGTAACATTCGTTGACAACTGGGACCTCTTCTATGGCAGAAATGACATGTATGCCAGGGATGGGGTTCACTTATCTAGGTCTGGGGTGGTAGCACTGGCAACTGCAGTGGAGGGAGCAGTTAGGACTTTAAACTAGGAATAGTTAGTGGTATGGGTTTTGGCAGGAAAACAGTGAAGTCCCAGTGTAGTAATATTACGAGTTCTAGGGGAACTAGTAATAAGCAGAACGAGGTAGATATTGAAAAGCCAGGGACTTTGGGTGATAAGGACAGTAATAGGTTTAGTAGAAAAACAGAAATGAGCAGGAAGGGTAAAGAGAAAGGAGAGTCTTTCAATGTTTATTATGCTAATTGCCGTAGTGCTAGGAATAAGATGAACGAGTTGAGATTAGTTGCTAGTACAGGTAACATTGATGTATTTGCCTTAACTGAGACGTGGTTTAATTCAAAAAGTCGGGACATGCCTGCGGAATGTCATATTCAGGGTTTTAAATTGTTCCAAGTAGATAGAAGTATCGGGAAGGGGGGTGGGGTGGCATTGTATGTCTGAGATCACTTGAACTGTTGCATAAAAACGGGTATTAAGTCTGAAGTAACACATACAGAGTCTGTTTGGATAGAATTTTCAGAGGGGCATGAAAAACTGATTTTAGGAGTGATATACCGTTCTGGAGCAGCAAGTGTCTCCCATTCGGTGATGGCACTGGCATAGCTAGGGTCTTCTATTCCTGCTGAGTCACTGAGGGTGTCAGGAAGAATTTGTCTTATCAACTCGTTTGATGCAATGGAAGAAGATAGGAAAGCTGGTAGAGCAATCTGGGAGGATCTGCGTACTCCTAGCCCTCCAAGCCTGACCGGAAGTGAGGCTTGCAACCACTGTCCATCGTCAAGGGAAAGATTCAATACACTCTCTAGCATGGCCTTCAGGAGAGAGTCATATTCCTTGAGTTTTGGACTGCTGAAGGCTGGGGAGCATCTCAGAAAATAGGTAAGTTTTGGGATTGACAGGCACCTGGTGAGTAGGTAGAAGGCATCGTGTGTGTCAATGTCTTTCATCCTGCTTTCCATCGTCCGGAGGTCTGAGACTTTTTTTCCTAGGATCAGATCGATGGCATTGGACCCAAGAGGAGCACCGAGGAGAGTGCTATTGGCTGGATCAATGGCTCGTGCTCCTGGTAAAACGGCACTAATATTCTGGATCATCTGTTGATTGGTAGAAACTATTTCACATTTGGTGGGGTTTAAAGAAAGGCCCAGGCTTTCTCCCATGTCTTTAATTTTTCTGATGTCCTCCAGGAGAGATTCTGTTGTGCCAGCTAGGGTACCGTCGTCCAGGAACCAGATATTGAGCTCGCTGGAGAGTGCCTCCGTGACTTCCTTGATGACCAAACAAAATAGAAAGGGGACGAGAGGGTCCCCCTGTTGCACGCCCTCACACGAGTCGATTTCATGGTCCCCAAACAATAGTTTGGAAGTCACTATAACACGATTCTATGAAGGGATAAAGGGAAGGGAAGTTTCTATAAACTGCTTGGAGAGCAGCATCCCTTCTAACTGAGTTGAAAGCATTGGCAAAGTCCAATTTGACCAAGGCTTTTTCATAGGACATGTTTTTGATATATACTCGTACTGCGTGGGCAGCTGCTTCACAGCCCTGTTGAACGCCGAAACCGAGCTGAGTTGGTTTCAGCATTGCAGCAGCCTCTTGACTCACCCTTCTTACTGCAGCATTGGCGACTAGGCACCGAAGGGTGTTACCCACTGCAATGGGCCTGATTCCGCCATCCTTTTTCCGGAGGGCACACAATGAGGCACCAAAGAAAAAGGGTCTGATGGCCTCTGGGACACCACCAGCCAGGCACAGATTGGAAAATTTGGTGAGTTCAGACAGCAGCCTCTCTGAAACCTCACCAAGTGCTGGATTGAGTATTTGTTTTAAGTGTTGAGGCCTTAAACCGGTGAAACCTCCTGCTGAGCCCTGTGGAAATGACATAGCAGCTTTATACACATCAGCATCCTGTAAGGTTAGATGTTCTTCGCCTGCTGCAATGTCAGGGAGGTCAATGTTGGTACTGGGAGCCCTGGGTGGATGTTTGTCCTTCAGAGCTTGCGCCGTGCTGACGTCCTTGGGAGCGATGGTATCCTCACTGGTTATAAGTCTCAAAGCTCCAATAGTATTACTCTCTTCTATTTTTTTGCTAATTTGGGCTCTGATTTTTGAGGTGTCGGGTGTCCTGTTGTTGGCATTTGACCGGCGGGTGTTTGTCGCCCTAGGGGGGAGACGGACGAGGTTGTCATCCCTTGGGAATGCATTTATTGTCCTAATAACATGTGTTGCTAGTGACTTGTCCCTCCTTGGTGGGACAGCCAAACAGGCATTGCCAAAAAGCAGCAAGTTGTGCCAGGATCTGTTGTTTGAAGGAGCATATATACAGTGGACCCCCGGTTAACGAACTTTTTTCATTCCAGTAGTATGTTCAGGTGCCAGTACTGACCGAATTTTTTCCCATAAGGAATATTGTGAAGTAGATTAGTCCATTTCAGACCCCCAAACATACACGTACAAACGCACTTACATAAATACACTTACATAATTGGTCGCATTTGGAGGTGATCGTTAAGCGGGGGTCCACTGTATATAATTATGTATATATATAATATATATATAATTATATATATATATATATTTTTTTCAACATATACATACATACAGTGGACCCTCGCCTAACAAACGCATTGCATAACGTTAAATTCGCCTAACGATACATTTTAATGCTAACATTTTTCCTCGGCTAACGCTAAAAAACTCGCCTAACGATATTCGTTCATGGGTACCAATTAATATCGTTAGGTGAGGGTCCACTGTACATATATATATCTGAATCTTTCCATGTACAAAAACTATATTAAAGCAGCTAGCCAAGAGCGGAAAAATATTTGTTGCGTATTATATCTGACTGCTTCCCATTGCCCAGGCACTGATAAATTACACACAATAAGTAAAGAATTAGCACTTTTTCAATTTTGGGAAGCATTTTGCTGCTCCTCTTAGGCTTTGAAGAATTGTCACCACACTACTTTTGTGCTTTAAGGCCATTATTAAGGAAAATTAAGGGTTATTTTTGGGCCACAGTAAACCATGGATAACTGAAGCTGAATCCACAAATACGGAGGTTCTACTGTACTTGTATTCCCATTGTGTTAATGCTGTAGTATCAGATGTACTTTGGCTCTTGCAGCTGTCTCAGATCACTCACCTGTAATACTGATCTCATTGTGATGATGGGTTCATTATTCACTGGCAGCTGCGTGCTGAGTCTGTGGCTGCGCATCAACGGTTGCCAGTGGGGACAGGAGCTACACCAATTACTCTACTCTTGAACCGAGGATTCCGACCTGGCTGTTTTGTCTCAATTTCAGGCAAAATTCACTGCAATGCTGATCAGTAAGGCACTTTTTATTTCTTCTAACTCATGACTGTCTATGAAATGTTTTTGCAAGCAATTGAATGCTAAATATTTTTTATGTAATTTCTTAAAGGGTATAACTTCTCGTAGAAGTGAAGAGGAGACAGATGCGAGTGTGGGGGAGGTGCATGAAGCATTTGGTAGAATGAAAGGGGGTAAAGCAGCTGGAACTGATGGAATTATGACAGAAATGATAAAAGCAGGAGGACATATAGTTTTGGAGTTGTTGGTACTTTTGTTCAATAAATGTATGAAAGAGGGGAAGATACCTAGGGATTGGTGGAGTGTATGTATAGTTCCTTTATATAAAGGGAAGGGGGACGAAATAGAGGGTAAAAAAATATAAGGGAAAAAGTTTCATGAGTATACCAGATAGTGTATGGTAGGGTTATTATTGAAAGAATTAGAGGTAAGACAGAGAGCAGGATCACTGATCAACAAGGCTTTAGAATGGGTAGGGGCTGTATAGACCAAGTGTTTACATTGAAGCATATCAGTGAGCAGTATTTAGATAAAGGTAGGGAAGTTTTCATTGCATTTATGGATTTAGAAAAGGTATATGATAGGATAGATAGAGGACCAATGTGGCAGATGTTGTAAGTGTATGGAATAGGTAGTAAGTCACTAAATGCTGTAAAGAGTTAGGGTATGTAGGAGAGTGGGAAATTATTTTCCAGTAAAAGTAGTCCTTAGACAGGGGCGTGTAATGTCACCATGGTTGTTTAACATATTTATAGATGGGATTGTAAAAGAAATAAATGCTAGGTGTGTTGAGGAGAGGGGTGAGATTAAATTATGGGGAATCAAATACAAAATGGGAGTTAACACAGTTACTTTCTGAAAACATAAACACATATGCAGTTTAATGTGATCCTTTAATGACAACGTTTCGCCCACACAGTGGGCTTTTTCAAGTCACACACAGATCTACCTGGGGTGGAAGGTACGGGAGTATTTATAGTCAGGTTCAGAATATTGAGGTCAGGTGGAGAATGCTGCATCTGATGATCTACCAGGTGGGGTTATAGAGTCTTGGGTAGCTTGGCAGGGGTATTGGACAAGTTGCAGAAGGTCTACTCACAACTTGTCCAATACCCCTGCCAAGCTACCCAAGACTCTATAACCCCACCTGGTAGATCATCAGATGCAGCATTCTCCACCTGACCTCAATATTCTGAACCTGACTATAAATACTCCCGTACCTTCCACCCCAGGTAGATCTGTGTGTGACTTGAAAAAGCCCACTGTGTGGGCGAAACGTTGCCATTAACCCTTTCAGGGTCCAAGGCCCAAATCTGGAGTCCCGCACCAGTGTCCAAGATATTTCAAAAAAAAAAATTTGTTATTTTTTCTTATGAAATCGTAGAGAATCTTTTTGTGAAGGTAATAAAACAAAAAGTACGAAAATTGGTGGAAAATTGACGAAATTATGCTCTCGCGAATTTTGATGTGTCAGCGATATTTACGAATCGGCGATTTTGCCGACTTTGACTCCCATTTTAGGCCAATTACATTATTCCAGTCAACCAAATTCTTAGCTATTTCACTAGTATTACTTCTATTCTATCGATTGAGCACAAGAAATCGCCAAGTCAACTGTTTCAACTACAAAATAAAGTGATCGGAAATTGTTAATTTGGCCAATTTAACACAAAGTTCAAAATATTCCAATTTCAAAATAGGGTCCAGAATGAACAATGTAGGCATTCCTGGCACTAAACTAACATTTCCTCTGTTCATTAGTTATGTTTTGAGGCTTTACAAATAAATTCCATTTTGATTTTTTATTCACATAATGAATTTTTATTCACACCAAAAAATAGAAGATTTACTGTTATGCAATACTGTAATAATTGTATAAATATCATCACCATATTTGTGAATGTATATTAGACCCACCAGCTGATGTGTATTAGACGTGTGAGGTAGTTTGTTTACTCTTGAATATCGGCAAAAATTTAACATTTCCGCTACTTTGAGCTCAGTTTCAAGCCATTTCCAATGCTAAAACCAATCAAAATCATCTCTATTTCTGTAATATGTCTTCCATTCTATCAAATGAGACCAAGAAATCGCAAATACAACTATAAAAAACATACGAAAAAACACTGCAAAGTTGCTGTTTTAATCGAAAAATCATGATTTCATTTTTTTTCTCTCATTATGCACAGTGTGCTGCAGGATCTGTTTTATGTGGTGCACACATACCACATAGATGTATTCTCTCATATCTAGGCCCAAATGTACCACTCACAGTTTATCAGAGTGAGCTGAGCTCATGGCGTAGATCTACGGTTTGGACCCTGAACGTAAAGCCGTAGATCTACGGGACGGACCCTGAAAGGGTTAAAGGATCACATTAAACTGCATATGTGTTTGTTTCCATTGTGTCTGTATTTTATACCATTTATTTTCACAGTTACTTTCTGCTGATGATACCGTGGTTTTGGGAGATTCTATAGAGAAGTTGCAAGGGTTAGTGGATGAGTTTGGGAGGGTGTGTAAAGAAAGTTGAAAGTGAACATAGATAAGAGTAAAATGATGAGGGGTATCAAACAAGCTAGGTAAAGAAAAACTGGATATCAGATTGGAGGGAGGGAGTATGGAAGAAGTGAATGTGTTCATATACTTGGGAATAGACTTGTCAGCAGGTGGGTTTATGAGGGATGAGGTAAACCATAGACTTTATGAAGGAAAAAAGGGTGGGTAGTGCATTGAGGTATCTATGGAATCAAAGAATGTTATCCATGGAGGCAAAGAAGGGAATGTATGAGAATATAGTGGTACCAATACTCTTAAATGGGTGTGAGGCATGGGTTGTAAATGCTGCAGCAAGGAGACGGCTGGAGGCAGTGGAGATGTCATGTCTAAGGGCAATGTGTGGTGTAAATGTTATGCAGAGAATTCATTGTGCGGAAATTAGAAGGAGGTGTGGGGTTACTAAAAGTATTAGTCAGAGGGCTGAAGAGGGGTTGTTGAGGTGGTTTGGCCATTTAGAGTGAATGGAACAAAGTACAATGACTTGGAGAGCATATAAATCTGTAGGGAAAGGAAGGTGGAGTAGGGGTCGTCCTCGAAAAGGTTGGAGGGAGGGGTTAAGGAGGTTTAGTGGGTGAGGGGCTTGGACTTCCAGTAAGTGTGTGAGCATGTTAGATAGGAGTGAATGGAGATGAATGGTTTTTGGGACCTTACGATCTGTTGGAGTGTGAGCAGGGTAATATTTTGTTAAGGGATTCAGGGAACCTAGTTAGCTGGACTTGAGTCCTGGAAATGGGAAGTACAGTGCCTGCACTTTAAGGAAGGGGTTTAGGATATTGGCAGTTTGGAGGGATGTGTAAGCTGTCATATCTGAGCGCCTTTGCAAAGACAGTGATTATGTGTGAGTGATAGTGAAAGTGTTAAATGATGAAAGTTTTTTCTTTCTTTTTTGGGTCACCCTGCCTTGGTGGGAAATGTCCGATTTTTTTTTTTTTTTTTTTTTTTTTTTTTTTTTTTTTTTAGTGTCATTAATATCTAATGAAGGTACTTTTGCTTTCCAAGATTCCACATTAACCTGCAGACATCAAGAGGAACTGATACAGACATTGCTCTTCACATCAATCCAAGGTTTTGTGAGAAGGTTAGTGAGGAGCCTGTACAGTATCTGTTACTTTCACATTGTCTTAAGCATTACACTGTGAGAATGTACACTCTCATCAGTATTTCTTTGATAGTGCTGCCCCTTTAATTCCTTGGTTCAGAGCAGATTGCTTACTTCTCCTAAGGCACCATGTGACCCTCACAGGTTTAACAATTTCCCCTGATTATAATCCTAATATTAACTTCTCTCATTCAAGAACTTGAAAATGTTTACATGTTGCTAACTTAGAGACAAGTTTTGGCTGTTAATTAGGGTTAGTAATATTGTTTATATTTCAGACTGCTGTCATTAACAGTAAGAAGAAAGGTATCTGGGGTGCAGAAGAGTTTGGACAGCTGGAGGTGTTGTCTCCTGGTGACCACTGTGAAGTGTCAGTTGTCTGTGATGATAAGGATTTTAAGGTGAGCTTTTAAAGTGAAAATTTGAACCTTCAGACTATTTCACTGAGAAAAGAAGGCTTATATTGCTGAATTATTAAGTATTCTAAGAGTATATATATATATATCTTCTTGATTAGGTAAGCAGTACGTTTGAATTTTAAACATAATGAAGGTAAAATTTTACGAGTCATTAAATCATGGAACAGGTAGGGTTTGAACCCATGGCCAGAGAGCCCTAAAACACAGGCCAGTGCATTTTAGGACTTGCTTGCCATGGATTCAAGCCCCACCCATTCTCTGATTTGTCTGCAATTGTGTTATTACCTTTACAAGTCATCTGCAATGTTGTGTAATAATACCTGAAGTTTAGGAAGAGTTATTGTGATAATCTAAAGGATACATCTCATTTAGAATGTTGTTTCAGATCTCCATAAACGACAAATTCTGGTATAGCTTCAAGCATCGTCTTGTTGTTACAAAGATAACACATGTAGTAGTGAGAGGGAGCATCACTGTTGATGAAGTAACCTACAACCATGGAGCTGTATGTATGATTTGAATATATAAATCATTGTATTTATTCATGCAAGTCACTCTATTAGTTTTTAGACTTTTGCAAACAATTGAGTTCAGTACGTACTGTACTTTATCTTTACAGATGATGTCACAGGTAAATTTTGTCTAGTATCCATATGAGCTTTTCAGACAAGTGATCTTTGACAGGGAGAACGTCAGTTGACTGAGTGGTACTGGCGAGGTTTAGGTGGACACCTGCAGCGTGTCCAGGGTGGAGCTGGTGGAGTCACCTGGGGGATATCTCATGACTTCCATGTGTATACCTACACAGGTGCTACAGGAGGAGGACTCTATAAGGGTAAGGCAATTAAGTTTTAAGTCTTTCCTTACCTATTGTAAGGAAATTTTGTGTAAACGAGTTTCTTCAGATATTTTTTTAATACGCTGGCCGTCTCCCACCAAGTCAGGGTGATCCGAGAAAGAAACATTTTCACCATCATTTACACTATCACTGTCTTTCCAGAGGCATGCAGATACAACAGTTTATATGTTCATCTAAACAGCAAATATCCCAAACCCCCTTCTTTAGAATTTTGGCACTGTACTTCCCACCCTCGGGACTCAAGTCTGGCTAACTGGTTTCCCTGAATTCCTTCACAAAATATTACCTTGCTCACACTCCAACAGCTCATCAAGTAGCAAACACCATTTGTCTCTACTTATTCCTATCCAGTTATTCTTCCTGCATGTCTGTAATAACCTGTTTCTTATGTCCTACTTGAGTTTGAGGAGAGCTGAGCTCTAGCTTTTGGGTCTGCCACTTTTCTACCTCGCGTATTAACGTATACCAGTTTCTTTGTCAGACTAAAATTGAACTGTTCTTAACTGTCATTTGCAGTGCTGCAGTTTATTTTGTGTGTTGAGCCACCCCATACAATCATTAGTGACATGAAAATTAATTTTGCACTCTCTAGCATGGTTAAGAATTTTTTATTATTTAATATAATTATCACACTGGCCGATTCCCACCAAGGCAGGGTGGCCCGAAAAAGAAAAACTTTCACCATCATTCACTCCATCACTGTCTTGCCAGAAGGGTGCTTTACACTACAGTTTTTAAACTGCAACATTAACACCCCCTCCTTCAGAGTGCAGGCACTGTACTTCCCATCTCCAGGACTCAAGTCCGGCCTGCCGGTTTCCCTGAACCCCTTCATAAATGTTACTTTGCTCACACTCCAACAGCACGTCAAGTATTAAAAACCATTTGTCTCCATTCACTCCTATCAAACACGCTCACGCATGCCTGCTGGAAGTCCAAGCCCCTCGCACACAAAACCTCCTTTACCCCCTCCCTCCAACCTTTCCTAGGCCGACCCCAACCCCGCCTTCCTTCCACTACAGACTGATACACTCTTGAAGTCACTCTGTTTCGCTCCATTCTATCTACATGTCCGAACCACCTCAACAACCCTTCCTCAGCCCTCTGGACAACAGTTTTGGTAATCCCGCACCTCCTCCTAACTTCGAAACTACGAATTCTCTGCATTATATTCACACCACACATTGCCCTCAGACATGACATCTCCACTGCCTCCAGCCTTCTCCTCGCTGCAACATTCATCACCCATGCTTCACACCCATATAAGAGCGTTGGTAAAACTATACTCTCATACATTCCCCTCTTTGCCTCCAAAGAACATAAGAACGAAGGAACACTGCAGCAGGCCTACTGGCCCATGCGAGGCAGGTCCAAGTCTCCTTCCGGCTTAAGCCAGTGCACCCAACCTAGTCAGGTCAGGTCACATTGACTTAAGGGAGGAACACGGCAACCGACCTGGTAGCACAAGCTATCAGGTCCAACTCACACCCACCCACATCCACTCGTGTATTTATCCAACCTATTTTTAAAGCTACACAACGTTCTGGCCTCTATAACTGTACTTGGGAGTTTGTTCCACTCATCCACAACTCTATTACCAAACCAGTACTTTCCTATAACTTTCCTGAATCTGAATTTTTCCAACTTAAAACCATTGCTGCGAGTCCTGTCTAGGCTAGATATTTTCAGCACACTATTTACATCCCCTTTATTTATTCCTGTCTTCCATTTATACACCTTAATCATATCCCCCCTAATTCTACGTCTTTCTAGAGAGTGCAGATTCAGGGCCCTTAGTCTATCCTCATAGAGAAGGTTTCTGATACATGGGATCAACTTTGTCATCCTCCTTTGTACATTTTCCAGAGCATTTATATCCATTCTGTAATACGGTGACCAAAACTGTGCAGCATAATCTAAATGAGGCCTAACCAAGGATGTAGAGAGTTGAAGAACAACCTGAGGACTCCTATTATTTATGCTTCTTGATATGAAGCCAAGGATTCTATTAGCTTTATTGCGAACACTTATGCACTTTTGTCTTGGTTTCAGATTACCGCTAACCAGAACTCCTAAATCTTTTTCGCAATCCGTAATATTAAGACCTACATTATTTAGTTTATATGTGGCATGGTTATTGTCCTGTCCAACATTTAGAACTTTGCATTTGTCTATATTAAACTGCATCTGCCACTTCTCCGACCACAGCATCAATCTATTCAAATCTTCCTGGAGTGCTTTAATGTCCTCGTCAGCATGAATTCGACGGCCTATTTTGGTGTCTTAGGCAAACTTGCTGATGTCACTCTTTATGCCCTCATCTATGTCATTTTTGTAGATTTTGAACAGCAGGGGGCCCAACACTGACCCCTGTGGAACACCGCTCGTGATGCTTCCCCACTCTGATTTCTCCCTATTTATGTAAACTCTCTGCTGCCTATTTGTCAACCATGCCTCTATCCAGGAAAAAATTTCTCCTCCTATTCCATGTGCCTTAATTTTCCTCAATAGTCTCTGATGTGGGACCCTGTCAAAAGCCTTACCGAAGTCCATATACACAATATCATATTAATTACCATGATCTACCTCAAATACCTTAGTGAAAAAAGTTAATAAATTCGTAAAACCATGCTGAGATTCGTTGATTAATTTATGCTTTTCGAGGTGGCTACGAACTACCTCGGCAATTAACCTGCCAAATAACCTGCACTTGGGAAAACAGACATATGACAATATTTCAGTCCTTCCTGGACCATTATCAAATCACAACTGAGGAAGAAACAGCAAGAGAAGGCCAGAACATTGGACAGGATGAGGGAGGAGGAGGAGGAATAGGGGAAAGGGGGAGGAGGAGGAGAGATGATGGGGATAGGAGTAGTAGTATTATAGTAGTTTGTTAGAGGGGTTGACTTTCTCCACAGCCAGTAGTAATGATGCTGGAGTACAGATCATGAGTGATGTGCGCCACATGTATGTGTGGGAGAATCAGCGCTGGAACCCTGTGACTGGCTTCACATACCGAGGACTTCCCACTGACCGCCACACCTGGAGTGATCAAACTGGACGTCATCAGCGTGCAAAGGAGAGCGTCAAACTGCAATCCCGTCACTGGTCATGGGTAAGTAGTTTTGGCAGTGTGTTGATTTATGGTATATTTACAACAGATTTCTGCAGTATAGTGTACAGTACTGCATTGTCATTATCTAAGATACAGATGTGATTCATTGTAAAAATATTTTAATTTTCATATTTAATATTACTAAGGTTAAGTTGTAACCTTGTGGGATGGTTGAGTTATGTGGCTTTTCACGATATACCATAATACAGTATACTCGCATATAGTGTTACATGCTTGTGTATGTGGTAGCAAAATCCAAAGGTAAACTACTTCTCATGTCCCACTGGTCTCTCACATGTTATTTCAAGCTCCTAGGCTGCTTAAAATTCTGGAATAAAATAAAAATCATTGTAATACTGAGTACAGTACTTCATCTTTTGACATTTTACTTGATTAATGTCCTTACAGGAGTATTCCTTGCTTTTGGTCCTCACTCCAAACACAAACATTTTTATATATTTGCGACTAGATTACTATAGCTGCAAGTTACCTCATTCACATATTGGACTCACTTTTATTAAGATGCATGAGCAAACACAGACATTTTATTATGGATATATTTTGTTCTTGGGACCTTAGAGTGAACAAGGTCCAGGACAGAAACCTGTCCATAATAAAATGTCTCCAACCATGTCTTGATGGTACAGTATAAAAATCTTTCACCTCTTGCTGTGACTTTCTTGCTTCCAGATAAGATAGACCAACGAGGCATCGCAAGAATGACGAGTAACTTCTCCAATCGAACAAAATATATCACTGATGAACACATTTACATTGAGGAATGTCTTCGTTATTTATGATTTTGCCAGACTGTAGAGGTTACCCATCATTCTTGCGATGCCTGACTTGCCTTCACTAGAAAGTACAGTATGATGTTTGTGTTCTTGTTGAGACTTAAAAATTCACCAAGAGCTCACCTGTCAGTTTTCTCTATTGCTTGTATAATAATAATAGCAAAAATTATTTATTTATTTTTTTTTATTATCACACCGGCCGATTCCCACCAAGGCAGGGTGGCCCGAAAAAGAAAAACTTTCACCATCATTCACTCCATCACTGTCTTGCCAGAAGGGTGCTTTACACTACAGTTTTTAAACTGCAACATTAACACCCCTCCTTCAGAGTGCAGGCACTGTACTTCCCATCTCCAGGACTCAAGTCCGGCCTGCCGGTTTCCCTGAATCCCTTCATAAATGTTACTTTGCTCACACTCCAACAGCACGTCAAGTATTAAAAACCATTTGTCTCCATTCACTCCTATCAAACACGCTCACGCATGCCTGCTGGAAGTCCAAGCCCCTCGCACACAAAACCTCCTTTACCCCCTCCCTCCAACCCTTCCTAGGCCGACCCCTACCCCGCCTTCCTTCCACTACAGACTGATACACTCTTGAAGTCATTCTGTTTCGCTCCATTCTCTCTACATGTCCGAACCACCTCAACAACCCTTCCTCAGCCCTCTGGACAACAGTTTTGGTAATCCCGCACCTCCTCCTAACTTCCAAACTACGAATTTCTTGCATTATATTCACACCACACATTGCCCTCAGACATGACATCTCCACTGCCTCCAGCCTTCTCCTCGCTGCAACATTCATCACCCACGCTTCACACCCATATAAGAGCGTTGGTAAAACTATACTCTCATACATTCCCCTCTTTGCCTCCAAGGACAAAGTTCTTTGTCTCCACAGACTCCTAAGTGCACCACTCACTCTTTTTCCCTCATCAATTCTATGATTCACCTCATCTTTCATAGACCCATCCGCTGACACGTCCACTCCCAAATATCTGAATACGTTCACCTCCTCCATACTCTCTCCCTCCAATCTGATATTCAATCTTTCATCACCTAATCTAGTATAATTATTATTATTATTATTATTATTATTATTATTATTATTATTATTATTATTATTATTTCTACCAATATTAATCATGCAGTATATCCAGGAGTTTGCATGGAATGCCTTCCCTCTTGTTTCTGCTGTTTATTAATGAAACTTCATTATACAACAGCTGAAGTGTACTTTCCTGCAAAGGTTATAAGTTGAAAAAATACTGTCTTAAGTACTTTGCTACTCTGTTTTCATGTGGACTTAACCGGATGTTATAATAAATTGTAAAAGAAAATAAAATAGGTTCTATATTTTGTGAAATATCAATTTAACCAATTAATAGGGGGATGAAATGGTCCACTAATACTGATGGAACCTAAATCTGAAAGCTGTGGTTGTTTTTCCATGCTTGTAACAAAGAGAGAATTCTAGATTTAACCAACATTTTCCATTGTTTGTGGCTGTTCTCCAGCAACCAGTTTTGTCCTTTATATCAGATATGTAAATCAGGGAGCATTAAATCAATGTTTTTACTGTATTTTTCAACAGACGAGTGAATGGTGTGTAGACTATCACACTCCTGGAGGTGTAGACCGTGAAGGATGGCAGTACGCCACAGATTTTCCCCTAAGTTACCATGCTCACCGTTATGCAACAGATTTGGTTCGCCGTCGCCGCTGGGTGAGAAAGTGCAGAGTTTCAACATCAGGTCCCTGGCAACAGATGGAGAAGGTGGCACTTGTTCATGTCTCAGTGTCTGTAAGTTAATTAACTGCCTTTACACCTAGAATTTTTGCTGTATTCTTATCTATGTCACATTAAAATATATAAAATTGTGTTTAGTTTTTTCTTGTAAATATTGATGCCTGAAATATTATTTAACCATTGTCAGTGTTCTTTTCATGAAGCATACATCCTTAATTGTTTAATTTGTCTTGCATAATATGATGATTAATTTTTATATATAACAGTAATTAATGTATACATTAATTACTTCAGTGAATGTATACATACTCAATAATTACAGCACTTCTATTAAGGTTTATACTAGGCTCCTGATATTAAATGTAAGAGAATCATAAAAGATTGTGGATTGTTATCACTTGCTTCATTACAGCCAGAATGTGCTGAGGATGGCACAATACCCGTGTGGGGCGTGAGTGTCACAGGGGAGGTTGTAGTCCGCCTTGGTGTTACACACAATAAATACCAGGGAGAAAAATGGAAACTCGTGCCAGCGGAGTGTCCCATGTGCAGTGTATGCGCCGGTGTGGATGGCTGTGGGGTGTGGGCAGTTAGTAAAGATGGCCAGGCACATCTGAGGCTTGGTGTCACAAAGAAAACTCCACAGGTTCGTTAGCACTTTTGTGATGTACACCGTGTATGATGGTACTTTAGTCGATATCCAAATTAGAAAATTTGCATGTGTATACACATATATGTATACATGTATGTGTATGTATTCATATATGGATATGGATAATAACCATAGTGAAAGTAGTGAAAAATCATGAAAGCACTTGGAATTTTACTAGTTTTTACGTTGTGGTTATTTTGCATTTTGTGATCTCGCCTGTTTGTGATTGTATTGCAATTTGTGTGTGTGTATGGTACTCATTACCTCTTTGGGTCACTGTACTATATATATTAGTCAGTTTCTTATTTTGTGTCATTTTAAATTGCACTAAAGTAAAAAAAAAATGATACATTTCTTGTTGAAGAGCAGTTGCCTTTCATGAATAACAGTACAGTATTATTATTTTTTTTTTTTTAGAAGGATTAGAATACACATCAGGATTATAATCACTGAAGTATAGAACTGGGAATTTTAAAATCTACTTAATTGGATAGTACTGTATCAGTATATCTTTAGACTAATGCAGTTTGATGTTTTCCCGACTGAGAGTAGTATATATTGTTGAATGTTCATAATTATATATTTACAGGGTGTACAATGGGTCAACGTTGATTCCCCAGGTCAGCCACTTGTAGAAGTTAGTGCCGGTGCCTGGTCTGTGTGGGGGCTCGACCGAAGTGGTTCACTTTACCGTAGAACAAACGTGCTTCCCCTCTTCCCTGAAGGAACCGCTTGGGAGTGGGTATGTGGAAGTGTTGCTAGTTTCAGCATTGCTGCTGATGGCTCTGTATGGGCAGTGTTGGATACCTATGATACTGAGAAAGGAACAGTACAAGGAGTGATTGCACGCAGGGTTGGAGTATCTCGGTCTTGTCCGTTGGGTACAGGCTGGGAACACACCATCGGTACTGGATGGAGCTCTGTGTGTGCACGTGTTCCCCTTCCTTTGTGACACACCATATAAGATGAGAAATTTGTTTTTTGTTTATATTTTAAGGATGTAAGTTCTTTAAGGAGTTTTTTACTAATAAATGTTCATGTGTTAATATAAATGTTTAGATATTTAATGTAAATGTTAAGACATTATTTAATATAAATGTTGAGAGACTATTTAAATGTTGAAATATGTATATGAATATGTTGAGTGTAGTAGATTTTATACAAATATTAATTTGAAATTATTTATACTGTGATCTACTTTATCAAGTCTGTTCGAGCTGTTTATTGCTTCTACAAAACTCTCCTACAAACATGAAGTGAATCACATTTTTATGTAGGAAATATCTTTCAGCTTCATATGTTGTGTGTGGGCCCATTATTTCTTCATTTTTATGCACAAACAGTGCATAAATTTACTAAAGATTACCTTCTCCAAATATGCCAATTACACAGTTATAATAATTTGGTTACATCCAGCCCAGGTAATTATCAAAATTACAATGCCAATATGATAACTCTTCACAAATTACCTACAATTTAGAGAGGAAACTGTGATGGTTTCTCATTTATCATTTGTGACTGATCATGGTTCATGATGGACCAAAACTTAACTGAAGTTTCCTATGATAACTGTGAATTAAGTCAGTTATTCCAGCCATATTATTGTGACTGTTTCTTCATAACTCAGAACTGATGTTCTCTGATCACACCAGGTTGAGGGTGACACCTCTCTGATCACACCAGGTTGAGGGTGACACCTCTGATCACACCAGGTTGAGGGTGACACCTCTCTGATCATACCAGGTTGAGGGTGACACCTCTCTGATCACACCAGGTTGAGGGTGACACCTCTGATCACACCAGGTTGAGGGTGACACCTCTCTGATCACACCAGGTTGAGGGTGACACCTCTCTGATCACACCAGGTTGAGGGTGACACCTCTCTGATCATACCAGGTTGAGGGTGACACCTCTCTGATCTACCGGGTTTGAGGGTGACACCTCTCTGATCATACCAGGTTGAGGGTGACACCTCTCTGATCATACCAGGTTGAGGGTGACACCTCTCTGATCATACCAGGTTGAGGGTGACACCTCTCTGATCATACCAGGTTTGGGGGGTTGACACCTCTCTGATCATACCAGGTTGAGGGTGACACCTCTCTGATCACACCAGGTTGAGGGTGACACCTCTCTGATCACACCAGGTTGAGGGTGACACCTCTCTGATCACACCAGGTTGAGGGTGACACCTCTCTGATCACACCAGGTTGAGGGTGACACCTGTTCTCTTATTATAAAAAACACAATAATTCTCTCACCTATAATGAACTTTCTCAAGTGACCTGATTCACTTAAGAAAGTTCACTACATGTGACTGAAACATTGTGTATTTTTAATAAATGTTTTTCTGTTTTCTTGATTCTTCTCAATACTATTTAAAGGGAAATGGGCTAGATTTCTAAACAGTCCTCCTTGGTGTTTATACATTCTGAATCTTTTAAAAAAAAAATGGATAAGAATTTACCATGAGCGTAACTGCAAAATATTATGTAGTATTGCTTTAATTACCTGTGTATCATTAGAGTACAGATGTATATATTTTTTCTTTTACCACATCAGGTGTCTCCCACCAAGGCAGGGTGACACAAAAATAGGGAAACACATTTACAATCACTTGTCTTGTCAGAAGTGTACAGACATCACAACTCTGATGACCCTCCAAACAGCAGCATTCACCCCTCCTTCAGAGTGTAGGCACTATGCTTCCCACCACCAGGACTGTAACATCCCCACCCTGCCTTTTCTAAATTCATAAATGCAACAAAGAGTTTCTTATCTAATTATTGTTCACTTATATGCTTCATTGTAAACACTTGGTCTACACATCCCCTACCCTTCCTAAACTCTCCTTGTTCATCTTCAATCCTACATTCTGTATTATCCTATCTCTTTCAGTAATAATTCTACTGTCCACTTTACCTGGTATATTCACTAGGCTTACTGTCCATAATATGTTCTTTTTTCTCATATACAAAGGAGCTGTACCTTCCCTTCTTTAATGCATATATTGAACAAATACATCAATTATTGTACAGAGCAAGTGGTAACCATTGTATTGTACTTAGCTTGTTGTAACATGCTTAAGATTATATATAAATGTTCTTTATGTTTTTAAGAAGTTGTTAGTAACACTGGCACTAGTAACCCAAATGATTTAACTGTGATAGTGTGTGTATTAGCCTACTTTTATAATGTATAACTTGTGTATACTCTTATTACATTCCCTCCAATAAAGTAGTCAAGTAAATATTAGTTAAGTAAATATTAGACTGATCATTATATCATTGTATTATTCTTGGGAAATTAGAATTTAAGTTTTCTGAATGTAGATGCTAGCTATAACTTGTGACACCAATCAGAACGCAACGAACAAACAATTTTTACTTATTTTGTCACTTTAGAATTTGAAGATTGAGACACTTGTGCAGCATATGGGAATCTTTATTCAGGAAACGTTTCGCCACAGTCCATCAATTGATGGACTGAACACATCGACTCCAGGCTGAGGGACTGATTACCTCATACTCCTCCTCTAATTACGCCTTCCTCTTTGAATTGGACTAATGAAGCCACTGTGTGGCAAAACGTTTCCTGAATAAAGATTCCCATATGCTGCATAAGTGTCTCAATCTTCAACTTGTCGGTTTTTCAAAACCATTCATCACAGCTTTAGAATTTGTTGTGTATTTGTTCTTCTTGTACTTTTTGTATTACTATAGTACTTTTAATTATTGTAAACAGTTGAACCTCTGTATTCAGATGCACCTTTATTCATAAAATCCAGTATTCGGAAAAAAAATTAAAGAAAAAATAAGTACCAATATTCGCAAATGTCACTACTTGGAACGATGCGTACTTTTTTAGCTCTTGTGATTTTTTTTTTTTTTTTTTTTTTTTTTTTTTTTTTTTTTTTTTTGTAGGTAGTAGGTTGGTAAACAGCAACCGTCCAGGGAGGTACTACCGTCTCGCCAAGTGAGTGTAAAACGAAAGCCTGTAATTGTTTTACATGATGGTAGGATTGCTGGTGTCTTTTGTCTGTCTCATAAATATGCTTGGACTTCCAGCAAGCGTGCATGAGCGTGTTAGATAGGAGTGAATGGAGACGAATGATACTTGGGACCTGACGATCTGTTGGAGTGTGAGCAGGGTAATATTTAGTGAAGGGATTCAGGGAAACCGGTTATTTTCATATAGTCGGACTTGAGTCCTGGAAATGGGAAGTACAATGCCTGCACTTTAAAGGAGGGGTTTGGGATATTGGCAGTTTGGAGGGATATGTTGTGTATCTCTATACGTATATGCTTCTAAACTGTTATATTCTGAGCACCTCTGCAAAAGCAGTGATAATGTGTGAGTGTGGTGAAAGTGTTGAATGATGATGAAAGTATTTTCTTTTTGGGGATTTTCTTTCTTTTTTTGGGTCACCCTGCCTCGGTGGGAGACGACCGACTTGTTGAAAAAAACAAAAAAAAAAACAGGCAAGTCTTGCTACTTCTACTTACACTTAGGTCACACTACACATACATGTACAAGCATATATATACACACCCCTCTGGGTTTTCTTCTATTTTCTTTCTAATTCTTGTTCTTGTTTATTTCCTCTTATCTCCATGGGGAAGTGGAACAGAATTCTTCCTCTGTAAGCCATGCATGTCGTAAGAGGCGACTAAAATGCCGGGAGCAAGGGGCTAGTAACCCCTTCTGTATATATTACTAAATTTAAAAGGAGAAACTTCAGTTTTTTTCTTTTGGGCCACCTCACCTCGGTGGGATACGGCTTGTATGTTGAAAGAAGAAGAAAGATTTTTTTTTTTCATAACTTTGGTGCTTTTCGCTCTTCCCCTGTTGAGACCCTCTATGCTGCAGCGAATATTCCATCCTTGTCCTATCGCCGTGATGCCCATTGCCTTCGCTACTATGTTTGCTCTCGTGATCTCTACAACCCTTCCATATATAGAATAGTCACCGATGTTAGTAGACATTGTTTATTTGCTCGCCGCTCCTGTTTACTCCATCCCTTTTCTCTTCACCTCCATTCGCTCTTGTCTTCCCTTCAGTTACCACCTTTCTATGTTCATATCACATCTTACTTTTCCCTGGCTCCCTGGGAAGTTCCAGCTGTTCGAGTGCATTCTTTTTCACACTCTTGCGCGAAAACCCAACTGCCTATGGTAGCTTCCCGCTCTTTTTCTTGACCACTTCCGCTCTCATTCTCATGCCATTGCTGCATACACAGATGGCTCTAAGTCTTCTGACAGCACCAGATTCGCAGCAGTGTTTCCGGACAGTGTCATGCGTGGGCATTTACTATTCTCAGCTAGCATTTTTACTGCTGAATTGTATACCATTCTTGTAGCACTTATCCATATTGCATCTATGCCTGTGTCACCATTTGTGGTTGTTTCAGACTCCCTTAGTGCTTTACAGGATATACAAAAATTTGATACACCTTATCCCCTAGTTTTCCATATCCATTTTTGGTTATGCCGTATCTCTACCAAGCATAAAGATATTTTTTTTGTTGGGTCTCTGGTCATGTTGACGTATAGGGCAATGAACAGGCAGACATTGCTGCGAGGTCAGCAGTACACGACCTTCCAGTTTCATATAGAGGTGTTCCATTCACGGACTATTTTGCTGTAATTGCTACCCACCTTCACACCCGTTGGCAACAATGTTTGTCTGATCTGCTCAATAACAAACTTCATTCTATTAAACCAAGTCTAGGTTACTGGCCGTCTTCTTGTCATCAGTGTCGAGGTTGGGAGACTACTCTCTCCCATCTTCGCATTGGCCACACTCATCTTACTCACAGGTATCTCATGGAGAGGCACCCTGTTCCTCTCTGTGAGAATTGTCATGTTCCAGTATCTGTTAGCCACATTCTGTTAGACTGCCCACTCAATCAACGAGCACGCAGAATTTACCTCCAATGTCGTCTCCGCTCTGCTGCTCGCTCTTTACGTTCCCTTCTTGCTGACTGACCCTCCTTTAATCTGGACTCTCTCATTTACTTTTTGACAACTGATTTACTCCACAAACTCTGATGATGATGCCTTTAGCACTCCCCACAGCCCTTTCTACCTCAATCTCTTGCTACCTTCTACCCCTGCACTATCCTTGCCCCGCTGTCCTCCATAACCTACTTATCATCCCTCTCCCTTTTGCCACCTGATACTCTCGCTTCCTTCCCTGCCCTGCAGTGCTGTATGGCCCTTGTGGTTTAGCACTTCTTTTTTGATTATAATAATAATTTGCATAACTTTGTGTTATTTTTATTTTATTATTGAAAATAAGTGATCACAGCCCCGTAACTGAATGCTGTAAAATGAATTCTGTAAGAACCACCATTGAACTGAAAGTGAAACTTATTTCAAAACAGGAAAATGAAATGTCTTGTTGACCTAGCCAAGGAATATGGCATGTTAATATCTACCATATTTTCTATTATAAAAAATAATAGGTTCATGTTTAATTTCTTGCTTGTACATGTTATTTTACAAAATTAATTAACCTGGTCACAGACCGGGCCGCGGGGGCGTTGACCCCCGAAACTCTCTCCAGGTAAACTCCAGGTAAACTTAAAAATAGTTTGTGAAGAGTAACTTTTGGGGTCTGGAAAGAATTAATCCAATTTACATTATTTCCTATGGAAAAAATTGATCCAATAGTAAGAAAATTCACTATTTAGAACACTCGCAGGAACTAATCACTGTATTTCGCAGCTTATAAGACTTGTTTTAGTTTCAGTGACTCGGCATCGAACGTAACTGGGAGAGATACAACCCATCCCACACCCCAAACTTATAGCTCCCGTCACTGACCTTCAGTTTATAGGATGCAGGGTGGTTTTTGGAGAAATTTTATGGAAAAAACGTGCATTTAATAAGTGGCGAAATATGTGGCAATTCCAAATACAGAGGTTCGACTGTATTAATATTATACTAAAAACTGACGTTCCACTGTATTAACCCTTAAACGGTCCAAAGAGATTGACGTTCATATTCGTAGTGCTACAAAAGTAGATCTACTTTTTTTTTACACATTTTCAAATGTAAAACAAAAAAGAAGATCTACATTTTTTACATACTTTCAGATGTTGTAAAAACGTATATACAGTGGACCCCCGCATAACGATGGCATCACATAGCGATTATTTCGCATACCGCTTACTTTAATTGCAAAAATTTTGCCTCACATACCGCTTAAAAACCCGCTTACCGATTTTCTTCCGAGACGCGCTCACATGTTCCGCCGGTGGCATTGTTTACCAGCCAGCCTCCGCGGTAACATCCAAGCATACAATCGGAATATTTCGTATTATTACAGTGTTTTCGGTGCTGTTTCTGGAAAATAAGTGACCATGGGCCCCAAGAAAGCTTCTAGTGCCAACCCTGTGGTAAAAAGGGTGAGAATTAGTATGGAAATTAAGAAAGATTTTGAAGGGTTTGGGGCTAACCCTGAGAAGCCTATGCCAGTTGTGGAATCCATTGTGCCTACTTCAAAAATTAAGGAAATGTGTGCACAGTGGGTTGAACTGCAAACCTTTATGGATGAAAATCACCCTGACACAGCTGTTGCAAGCCGTGCTGGTGACTATTTCAATGACAATGTTGTGGCCCATTTTAGACAAATCGTAAAGGAACGGGAGGTACAGAGCTCTATGGACAGATTTGTTGTGCGACAGAGGTCCAGTGACTCTCAAGCTGGTCCTAGTGGCATTAAAAGAAGAAGGGAAGTAACCCCGGAAAAGGACTTGCTACCTCAAGTCCTAATGGAAGGGGATTCCCCTTCTAAACAGTAAGAAGATAATGCTCTCCCCTCCTCCCATCCCATCAATCATCACCAGATCTTCAATAAAAGTAAGTGTCATGTAAGTGTGCATGCCTTTTTCAGTTTGTGTGTATTAAAATTAACATTTCATGTGGTAAAAAAAATTTTTTTTCATACTTTTGGGTGTCTTGCACGGATTAATTTTATTTCCATTATTTCTTATGGGGAAAATTCATTCACATAACGATTATTTCGCATAACAATTACCCCTCTTGCACGGATTAAAATCGTTAACCGGGGGTCCACTGTATACGTTTGGACCATTTAAGGGTGAGCGGTGCACTTAGGAGTCTGTGGAGACAAAGAACTTTGTCCTTGGAGGCAAAGAGGGGAATGTATGAGAGTATAGTTTTACCAACACTGTTATATGGGTGTGAAGCATGGGTGATGAATGTTGCAGCGAGGAGAAGGCTGGAGGCAGTGGAGATGTCATGTCTGAGGGCAATGTGTGGTGTGAATATAATGCAGAGAATTCGTAGTTTGGAAGCTAGGAGGAGGTGCGGGATTACCAAAACTGTTGTCCAGAGGGCTGAGGAAGGGTTGTTGAGGTGGTTCAGACATGTAGAGAGAATGGAGCGAAACAGAATGACTTCAAGAGTGTATCAGTCTGTAGTGGAAGGAAGGCGGGGTAGGGGTCAGCCTAGGAAAGGTTGGAGGGAGGGGGTAAAGGAGGTTTTGTGTGCGAGGGGCTTGGACTTCCAGCAGGCATGCGTGAGCGTGTTTGATAGGAGTGAATGGAGACAAATGGTTTTTAATACTTGATGTGCTGTTGGAGTGTGAGCAAAGTAACATTTATGAAGGGATTCAGGGAAACCGGCAGGCCGGACTTGAGTCCTGGAGATGGGAAGTACAGTGCCTGCACTCTGAAGGAGGGGTGTTAATGTTGCAGTTTAAAAACTGTAGTGTAAAGCACCCTTCTGGCAAGACAGTGATGGAGTGAATGATGGTGAAAGTTTTTCTTTTTCGGGCCACCCTGCCCTGGTGGGAATCGGCCAGTGTGATAATAAAAAAAAATAATAATCATATTAAAAACTAAGTG